AAATATTTATAATAACATGGTCCATATAAAATTTATAAGACAAAGATAAAAATAAAGAGGTATGAACTGTTATTAGTCTTGGAACGTCACATTTGGTTCATTAACCCAGACAACACACCAAATCCCAGAGATATCCACAGAATATCTTTTGTGGATATCCAATATATCCACAGGATATCAGAAATATTCCGTGGATCTAATATGGATATCCAAATGTCCGTCTATATCCAGAATATTGAAGATATCCTATGGATTATCCGGCAAAATATCTAATGGGTATCTTCCAGACAATACAAGAAATCCCAGAGATATCCACAGAATATATTTTGTGGATATCCAACCAAATGTCCGTCTATATCCCAGGATATAGAAAAATTCGGATACCTATTCAGCAAAATATTTTATGGGTATCTTTAGTAGAGGGTTCATAAAAGTAACCAGTGATTATTGAATAACGTCGAAAGAAAATAGCAGAGATAAAAAATATTTTCAACACTCAAAGTATTTTCAACACTCAAAGTATTTTCAACACTATGTCTTTGATTTTGCCCACTAAGGAGAAAGTCATCCTTATTAGGGCTCTTCAGCAATAAATGGAAATTCTCGACTCCAGTCTCTAATGGAGTCTCAATTGGGAAACAAATTTCGATCGAACTCAATTACGGCGGGTTGAGCATGAGTAGATGCGAAAGTGGTATCGCCATCTATACTTAGTAAGCAAAATCAAAAATTACATCTAGTGGATATCCACGATGGTTTGCGTTCGCGCCTAGACTTTAATTATTTAGTGGATGTCCATGGGATATTGAATACACCTTAAAAAAATTAATTTTAAATATCTGAACGGTACTATTAGGCCACAATGGCGAGCACAATGGCGTAATTTTTTAATAATTTGCTATATAATTACTATTATTTTTGGACATTTGAATGTCTATAAATTACATCTCATGGATATAAAATAGATATCCACCATGGACTGGACATTCAATGGATATTGGGATGTTTAGTAGATATCCAAAGGATTTGGTGTGCTGTCTGGGAATATGATTTCATTTTATGGGCTTTTATAATAACATCTACAAGTAAAAAGACTTTCTTGGATACAACAAGAATGTCACATCTGGTTTGTTAAAAAGACATAATTTTTGGGAACTTCCAATAACGTTGAATAACGTAACAAGGTAGCGCTGTAATATCATCGCAACGTCTACATTGTTTCATCACAAAAGTAGACGTCCCTACTCTCTGGGCTTAGACGGTTATGAGTCTGTCCTACAGCCCAGATAGCACAAAGTCGTCTTAAAGACGTCTTTAAGACGTCTAGCATAAGACATTCGAGACGTCTTTAAGACGTCTGGTATTTCCTGAAAGACGTCTTTAAGACGTCTTAGAAGACGTCTGATGTTACAAAAAGCGACGTCTTTAAGACGTCTTATTAATGGCTTATATTGGTCTGTAGAGCTTAAAGTAAGCCATAAATAAGACGTCTTTAAGACGACTTATTAATAGCTTATAATGGTCTTGTAAAGCCTTAAATAAGCCATAAATAAGATGTCTTTAAAACGTCTTATTAATGGCTTATAATGGTCTTGTGAAGCTTTAAATAAGCCATAAATAAGACGTCTTTAAGACGACTTATTAATAGCTTATAATGGTCTTGTGAAGCCTTAAATAAGACGTCTTTAAGACGTCTTATTAATGGCTTATAATGGTCTTGTGAAGCTTTAAATAAGCTATAAATAAGACGTCTTTAAGACGACTTATTAATAGCTTATAATGGTCTTGTGAAGCCTTAAATAAGACGTCTTATTAATGGCTTATAATGGTCTTGTGAAGCCATAAATAAGACGTCTTTAAGATGTCTTATGAACGTAGTATGTCGGATATCTTGGTTATTAAAAAGTAGAATAATCTTGCAGATTATAAATAATGCAAAAAATAGAATTAAAATATTTATTGATAAAAACATCTATTAATCACAGGTAACTAAGAGTTATTTTCTTTGTAGCGCATTCGATCACTCCTCTTTAGCCATAACTGGATTAATTTTTCTCTTTGATTTGTAGTTGCCTTTGTATAGCTCCTAAAAAGAAATTTAGTTAAGAGCATCTAGTCACAGAAAATTATACTTTGCAAAAGTTAGTAAAAACCGACAAAAAAGTTATCTATAAAATAAAACAAAAAATTAATTTCTTAGAATTTTAAATCAAAGAATTTTTATAATCATATAATGCAATATGAGCTATTATGCTAATCGCCTACTTTAACAATTTTACTCTAACTTCACTGAAAATGGCTATCTAATAGGGAGTTTTTGATATTATTAGTTCTCAAAATCTCTATAAAAACAAAACAAAAATGATACTTGACGAATATCTGAATTAAATCTTATATTAAGATGTTTACTTTTAAATTAATTTAATTATTCTTAGAAGATACAGGATATTAATGTTTTATGTATATAAACAAATATTTATTTATTACCTGTATTCCAGGAACGTGCTACATCGGTAACACAAACTATTCTTCCCTCTCTGGTTTTTGTCCCATATTATTTAAGTAGAAAGAGGCAAATGCTCAAAATAGCCCAAAGTCGCTTTTGGTGACTATAATCGTGTACGCAATAAAATAATCCATAATGAGCTTGGGCCATACAAATTTTTGGCTTGGGCTTGAATGTATTTCTTCTTTTCTTCGTTTTCACTTTTCCATTGCACTTGATATTTGATTTCAATTGTCTTCTCTAAATATTACACTGAATATTTTGTTTAATTTTGTATACTTTTTAAATTCGGATGGTTACTTTTATACTAGATATTTTGTGATTTTTATGGGACTTCTTGGCTCCCGATTCGGAGAACGCCATTTCAATATTGCCACGATGTTGTTCGAATCGGAAGTCCGACTTGAATATAATGTTAAATCAAACGTCAAACTTCACTTCATTTGATTCTTCTTGTTAAATTTGAATTATGTAAACCGTGCAAGTTTCCGTCCGACTGAAAGACGTTTGTAAGACGTCTTAAAGACGTCTTTGAGCTTTCACATTAATATATGGATTTGGCAAGACGTCTTAAGAACGTCTTTGAGCTCTCACATTAATACGTCTGAATTATGGCTTTTGCAAGGCGTCTTAATAACGTCCTAGGACATTGAGACCAAACCAAGGCACAAAAAAGACGTCTTTCAGTCGTCGTGTGCTATCTGCGAGATGAAAACAAGAGTAAAAATGAGAGTTACAATGTAACAATGTGATGTAAATTTCTCATTAATTTAACGTTTTTATACATACCCAGACAGCGCACCAAATCCTTTGGATATCTACTGAACATCCCAATATCCACTGAATGTCCAGTCCATGGTGGATATCTATTTTATATCCATGAGATATAATTTATAGACATGCAAATGTCCATAAATAATAGTAATTATATATAGCAAATTATTAAAAAATTACGCCATTGTGCTCGTCATTGTGGCTAATAGTACCGTTCAGATATTTAAAATTAATTTTTTTAAGGTGTCTTCAATATCCCATGGACATCCTCTAAATAATCAAAGTCTAGACGCGAACGCAAACCATCGTGGATATCCACTAGATGTAATTTTTGATTTTGCTTGCTAAGTATAGATGGCGATACCACTTTCGCATCTACTCATGCTTAACCCGCCGTAATCGAGTTCGATCGAAATTTGTTTCCCAATCAGACTCCATTAGAGACTGGAGTCGAGAATTTCCATTTATTGCTGAAGAGTCCTAATAAGGATGACTTTCTCCTTAGTGTGCAAAATCAAAGGCAGAATGTTGAAAGTATTTAGAGTGTTGAAAATATTTTTTCTCGGCTATTTTCTTTCGACGTTATTCAATAAACATTGGTTACTTTTATGAACCTCTACTAAAGATACCCATAAAATATTTTGCTGAATATCCGAATTCTTCTATATCCTGGGATATAGACGGAAATTTGGTTGGATATCCATAATGGATATCGACAAAATATATTCTGTGGATATCTCTGGGATTTCTCGTATTGTCTGGAAGATACCCATTGGATATTTTGCTGGATAATCCATAGGATATCTTCTATATTCTGGATATAGACGGACATTTGGATATCCATATTAGCTCCACGGAATATTTCTGATATCCTGTGGATATATTAGATATCCACAAAAGATATTCTGTAGATATCTCTGGGATTTGGTGTGTTGTCTGAGTACAGGCCCAATAAATGTTTCTCTCAATAAACCCATTGTGTCAGTGGATGTGTGGCATGTTGCACGGTATATGATATGTTTCCATTTTATATTGCCAACTATAGAAGAGTCTTTTGACTGGTATTGCCAATTATAGGAAAGTCCAAATATCAATAGGTAGGGTCGAGTTGTCTCCCGAATTTAACAGCTCATTTTTTGTGGTTCGAGTTGTCTCCCATGCCCACATCTCTCTAGATTTTAGTTTCTCTCGATTTAAGTTTCTCTCCCGATTTTAGTTTGTCTGTCGATTTTGGTTTCTCTCTCAATTTTAATTCCTTTCTCGATTTTAATTTCTCGCTCTGGCTGTCCTCTTGTTATTTCCATCTATATAGGATACGCCCATAAGGTTTGTTTGGGTAGATTTTAGACATTCGGAGACAGAGTTCTTTGGAAATAAAACTTTATTCTAACAATTTATATAGAGATAACAATATTTACAATATGTACATGAAAAGGTTCTGGCTAAATTTCAATTCGTCGTGTCTTCAAATGTTGTTCCCCAAAGTATATTTCGTGCGTCGGTTCGGCGTGGTAGTGATCCAGGATGGTGTGGCGAAGATGAGACAAAAGCTTAGGTTACCTTTACGGTGATGGAAGTCCCTCGAAGCCAGTACCTTTGTGGGAGAGATTCACGGGGAAGGAAAACCTACAAAGTCAAAACCTTTGCAGGTAAAGGTCGGGAAGCCTACAGAGTCAATATACCTCTGCAGGAGCAGGAGAGTTGCTAAGTCAATACCTTAGTTCGACTTACTAGAATTAAATTCGGAGGTCTCTATATACGTGTCTCTGCTTGGCAAAAACGGCTGCATGCTGAACCATAGGCATCCCTAGAACGGTGGTACTGGGGAAAATCGTTACAAGTTGACATACAGAAAACGCTATTATTTAATTTACCCTTACCAGCATTAAAGACAATATATTAAGTCCTTCATTGTTGAAATGGGAATTTAAAAAAGATATTAAATAGATATACAACATATTTAAAAAAAAAACGATTTTATTATTAAAATTCAAAATATCAAATTATATTTATTTACAAATAGGAATACAAGTTTTGAACATTCAATTGTAAACGGCTGGTACACCTTACTCCCTTTCATCTTTTCTCATACTGGTAACATTTGTCTATTCCTCAATAAATTATATCACCGTAAATTGGCCTGCAACACTTTCCTCGACAATCTCATCAGACCAGAAACCGGATCTCTTCCGAAATATTTAACTTGCAATTCTTGTCCTACCTCTAAGCCCAAAGCTGAGGGATGAGCAATCTGAAAGTTACAATGATTTACAAACCCAAATGGATACAATAAAAATAAATAACTAATACAGGGTGTCTCGATGAAAAGTAGCCCGTTTCCATTTGATAAAATGTGGTCTTTGTCACTGAAGCAAAACTTATAGCAAAATAATACATATCAGCAAAAACCGTACGTTTCTACTATTTGTTTAAAAGTTATAAGCTCTGGAAATGGGCTACTTTTCATTGGGACACCCTGTATTTTATAATGGGCAGTTTGATGCATTGGAGAACATATAAACACACCTTTCTTTGGTCTAGCTGCGAATTGTGCAACAGTGCTGGTGGCATTCCAGTATACAAAGTGACCATTACACCAATATCTCTCAACTCTACGATGGTTGCCTTGTAAATTCCTCCGAATTCTAAATCCGGAGTTCTTTCAGTAGACAAGAGCTTCTGAATTATTTCGTCTGCTTCATCCATGGCACTTTGACTTGGGGCAAACACTTGAAATGTGGTATCATCTATTTGAGAAACCTATAAAATGTGTTGTTGAAATACCAATGCAATTAGTTTGGCGCTTATTTAAAAATTAATTAAAAAAACAGAATTCAAAACGAGTTTATTATCTTTATACCTACAGAAACACCTGTTTCGGCAAACAGCTTCTTCACATTTACTCCTCCGATTCCTAAAAGTCTGGCTCTTTTGTGAGCTTCGACTTCTAATTTTTTGCAGACGGGCCAATTATCTTTCTTTGTTTCCCTGAAAATTAAAAAAAAACCTTTATTTTTATATTACGACAAAAATATATCAAATACTTGCCTTGGCTTTTCGATACACTGATGCATGATACCTAAAATTTGCGATTTTGCATCAGCAGCACTTTGTAGTGCTTCCATCACAATTTTGAGCGGTAAACCGGGTATTTTTATATCAGCTTGCAGGGCCGTTACGCCCTTCTTGTTACCGGCAATTTTGAAATCCATGTCGCCCATATAATCTTCAATGCCCTGAAAATATTTGCAAATATTCTTGAAAATATACTATAAAGAATAATAATAATTTTCGTTTAAACAGTAAAAAATAATTTACCAATAAGTCTGTTAAAATGCGGTAGTCCTCAATATTACTTTTTGTCGAGTCGTATTTAGTTACTAAGCCCATAGCTACTCCCGCTGCAGGAGAAGATAGAGGAACACCAGCATCCATTAGTGCCAAACTACCACCGCATACAGAAGCCATCGAACTTGAACCTAAAATAATACACTTTTAATTTTCCGGTAAAGAAATTATGAATTTTTCGACCTAGCGTTTTCGACGAAGCTTTGGCTTTTTGGCGTCCCCTCTAAATCCGTTTTGGCCATTTTGGCGATAATGTTTCTAACTCAAAAACGGATAAAGAGAAAAACACAAACGTTACATTTAAGCTTTAGAGATATACTTGTTGTGTTCGAAGCGTTTTATTATAACAGTAAAATTTTTTTATTTCTCCATTTATATCTTTACCACTTATAAAGTTTCTTTATCAAAATTATGCCGTTCAGATATCATTGGAGGCCGAAGAAATAATTGTTAAAGTTAGAAATTGTATGTCCACTATGTCCAGTGACGGGTACCAATAAATCCAGAAAAGTTAAATTTTGTTCCCAAATGTCTACTTTCATTTTCCTATTAATCCCACCTCTGTGTGTTTTGCAGGAAGAGTAACTGGGAATACACAGAACGAGCTGGCTACACTTTCCTTAACCAATCATCAACGTGTACTTTTGACAAAATAGGAGAATACATGTTGATTATCGATTAAGGAAAGTGTAGCCCAGCGACAGAGCTGGGCAGTATTTATATTTGTAAATACTTTTAAATGTTTAAATGTTTAAATACTTAAAAGTATTTAAATACTAGGCATTTAAATACTTTTGGATGAGGTATTTGTATTTGCAGCTGCAAATACTTTCGTAAGTAATTAGTATTTAAATACTTTTTCAAAATATTCTAATTACTTTTTAAGAATTTAAATAATTTTCTGGTATTTAAATACTTTTCTGGTATTTAAATACTTTTCTGGTATTTTTTTTTTTTTAATTTGGTGTCATCGGCGTCGACTACTACGGCCATTAGCCTCGTGTTCTGTGTAGGCTTTGTTACTGTTTCCCAGCGCCACTTTAGGAACAGCACTGTTAATTAGAACCCAACAGTGAATGGTCGAGTGGGGAATCCTACCAAGGCATCAGAATTAATTTTAAATAATTAAATTAAATGAAAAAATCCCGGCCAACGGTGGGATTCAAACCTGAGACCTTCCGATCTCAAAGTCATGACTCTAACCACTGAGCCAACCCACCCCCCTTTTCTGGTATTTAAATATATTTCTGGTATTTAAATACATTTCTGGTATTTTGTTTTAAATTAGTGTCATCGGCATCGACTACCAAGGCCATTAGCCTCGTGTTATGTGTAGGTTTTGTTACTGTTTCCCAGCGCCACTTTAGGGACAGCACTGTTAATTAGAACCCAACAGTGAATGGTCGAGTGGGGAATCCTACCAAGACATCAGAATTAATTTTAAATAATTAAATTAAATAAAAAAATCCCGGCCAACGGTGGGATTCGAACCTGGGACCCTTGGATCCACAGGCAGAGACTCTACCACTGAGCCACCCACCCCCTATTTCTGGTATTTAAATACTTTTCCGGTATTTAAATACCTTTTTACGTCAAAAATAAAAACATGTTTTAAAAAATTTCAACTGAAGTATCAGTTCGTATTTAAGCGTTAGAGAAGATTCATCATTGTGCTAGTTGTCAAGTTGTGACTGTTGTAATTTCTGTTACAAGAAAAAAAAAAAATAAACCAAGGTAAGTATTTATTATTATGATTTTTGATTTTATATAGTAATTAAAAAATGTTAGAGGTACAGATGGTCAGTTAAAAGTAAGTCTATTCAAGAAAGGATATTATAATTCCAAATAAGTATGAGCGGTTTAAATCACTATACGGATACAGTGAACAAGAGTGTACTTAAGAATTTTGTTGTAAAAAATGACAAATTGCCCTTCTGTAGGATGACATAAGGACGAAAAATTGCAAATACAAGAGAAATATAAAAAGCAGTACTTTTATCCATTAGCAAACAATTTTCATGCACTAGCAGTGGCAATCTATTTAAAAATATATCTAAATCCAAACGTCATTTTGCAAAAATTATAATACAATGGCGCCAGATAAAAGAGTTGCTGATCGAATAAAATAGCGAAAGCCGTTATTACTGATTTTGATTGGTCAGTTTTGGTTGTTTTTGGTTGGTTTACTCCTATTATTTCTCAAACATTTGGTAAAATCGTAAGTTTGAGCTTTGAGACATTTAAAAAGCAAACTCATTTTTTTCTTTCAGTGTACTTATAAGAGTACGTTCTTCAGCACGTTTTTATTAACTCGCTTTCCTGTATATCTGTATATTCGGTATACATTTTGCAATTGACTTTAAACAAACTTCCAATTAGCTAGAGACTTTATTTTTTTTATATTTTTATATTTTAAACATAGCTCAGAACTAAATTAATAAAGTATTTTACTCAGAACTTCTCCTAAGAACTAAATTTGTTCAATGCTGAACCAGTATTCATGTTACCGGAATCAGCTGAAATTTGGTAAACATGTAAACTCAATCACAATGCAAAATTATGGTGTGCAAAAGTTAAGACGTTTGTGACATATATTCATATGATATTTGTTTCTTATTTTTCATTGGGGATTCACCCCTTGAAATTTGTGTAGTTTTTTAACATACCAAATTATTTAAACGTACTAAAAGGATATAACAATAATAGCTATGAAAATACTTGTGATACAATTTAAAATTTAAAACAAAGGGCTGTGCAATAGCTAGTAGTAAGGAGTGTAGAGAGAACCTGTCGTTGAGAAAACACATACAAATTTTGTATCATTTGCAGTTTGCATTGCAATAAAATTGTTAATGATGAACTAACTCTTCATGAACTCTTCATGCATCAATTATCTATTGCATGTGCCACACGTTTTTCGTTTTAAATATTACAAATTACAAGCATTTTCATAGCCATCCAAAATTATTTCATACTTATAGTCCCTTTTTAAAAACTTTGTTTATAAAAAAATATATATTTAAATAACTATTGTGCGTAATATTTTAAAAAGTTTCAAAATCATGTATCGGTGTAGTGTTATTGGTATATCTGCACGTTTGACTCTTGCTAACTGCTAACTGGATCATTATATTATAGTAGATACAAGGTGAGTTACATTATCCAACCAAATGGTTTAATCCAGAAAAAACATTGATCATCGAGTTTAAAAAATATTTATACCTATAAATGTAATTTTTAAAATGGAATTGAATTTAAACGGTTACGACAAAAATGTCTTCACTTTCATTCTAAATTCAGAAATATTATAATATACTGGGAGTTCTAAAAAAATTAAATACAGTCATTAAATTAATCCAAAAACTCGATGTTTATGAGTTTTCCTCTATTAACTATTTGTTACAGCCAACAAAATGCTACTAGTTTGAGTTTGCTTCGGCTTTGGATCTAATAAAATACAATTCAGCCAATCCCGATAACTGGAACTTTAACATTTAACAACTTTAGTTCTTAAGGGAGGTTCTATGTAAAATATGATATAGTATTCTTGTATCTAAGCTGATAGGTTAGATACCATAATAATGCATTGTCGTCTAATTCTAAGTTATGTTTAAAGTCTCAAGTCTCTAGCTCACCACGAAGTTAGTTTAAAATCAATAGCAAAATTTGTACCGAACAGACAAACAGGCATCCAGACCAGAAAGCGAGTTATAAAAAAGATGGCAGAACTAGACAGAAGACAGTATTTGCAGTAGCTTAACTAGATCTAATATTTAAAAAACTATCCTACGGTATTTCGTAAAAGCCCTGTAGAGTATATTATAACTGCAAAAACATAACACACTTGATTTTTCCATTTGACTAAAAATTATAATTTTGCTAATAAAATATTAAAAATTTAGATAATTTTAAACTAAATTCCATAAGTCCCATAACTAACAATCTAAGAAAGAAAATATTAAATGGAGTATTTCTGAAAATATATTAAGTTTTAATTACTTCTTATTCAAACATAGATTTATTCACTGCAGTTTGGTTTTTTGCATTCAATAATAAAGTAGATTAAAAAGTACCTAGATAAAATATAATAAGTATTTTTAAAAATCTTGTTTTTAGGATACAAAATGACGGATAGCGGCTGTGGCAATAACAAAAATTATAATGCAATGGATGCAAGTGATACAGAGAAAGATCCCTATTCTGTAAATGATGACGAGGATCCCAACTATGATGGTAAGGATCATCCAAAGAAGAAGAAAAATCGAGATTATTTTCGTCTTGATCAAAAAAATAGGCAAGCGAATTCTCAGGCTTCCACTTCCTTAGCATCATCAACATCAAAAGCAACGGATAGTTTTGATTCGCGCTGTGAAACATCAGAGTCTGAAGAGGGTTCAGCATTATTCAATGATACATACTAAACTGTCAAAGAGAAAGGCCCTAATTTTTCTATTACTGCTCAGTGCACAAAATGCCTTCCTTTAATTAAATATATGAAAGGCAGATCCAATTCTACCACCAACTTTCTAAACCATTTAAAGATCAAGTATTCTGAAGAGTATCAAAAATACTTCGATTATAAGAGAAAAAAAATGTCAGCTGTAAAAAAATTAAATTAACTGTGCCAACTGGTTAAAAGTAACACAACTGACAAAAATTCAAAAAAGCAACTAGATATTAAGTCTAGTTTTAATTTAAGACAAAAATTTACACAACAAATTTTTGACCAAAGGGTAGTAAAATTTGTTATATCTTCATGATTTTTAAATAAGACTTCCTGTATATATTTTATTTTTTTCATGTAAAAATCATTTTACGTATTCATGGGCCATTTTTATTACTTTTTAAATTAATTTGACATTTTTAAAATAAATTTAATTTTTAAATTTAAAATAGACCGTACCATTATACCTAAAGTATTTATTATTTACGTATTATTGTTAATTTTAAACATCAAAACCGACCCCTATATCCTATGTTGGTATTACTGAATAATGATAAATGACAAATCAATATCTGTCAATAAAGTCAGTGTTTTGCTGTATTCGAAATCAGAAGGTTGTGTTGTTTTATTTCCCGTTTCCCGGCTAATTTTAACAATTATTTCTGTCCTTCATCTGTTTTAAGTTAAGGTGAAAAAATCACTTTTTTAATAAAAACTGAAAAAAAGAATAAGGGAGGTACTTGCCCTTTTTATACAACCCTAGTTAGATATACTTTTTTAATACAAATTCAACGGTATTTCACAACATCGCAGTTTTATAAGTTTTCCTGTCTTAATTGATTTTACTTGTTTAGACTCGAATACGAGACAATTAAAATCTACTAAAATATCCTTGGTTAATCCACGATTTCATGGCACATTTTACATTTTTTTCTTAAGGAATTCATGCAGTTTTGTACTTCATAGACAAATAAGTAAAATCAAATTTTGACTAGAAGATCCCATAAACCTGTGATACTTTTAAGTATTCAAATACTTTTTATGTATTTAAATACCTTTTCAGTATTTAAATACTTTTGTGTAAGTATTTATCCCAAACAAGTAATTAAATATTGTAGGTATTTGTTATTTAAATACCTTTTGCTCTAAAAAGTATTTAAGATTTAAATATTCGTAATTATGAAAGAGTATTTAGTATTTAAATACTTTTAAAAAGTATTTTGCCCAGCTCTGACCAGCGACAGACATCGTTCTGTGTATGTCGCGTAAAAGACAAATAGAAAAATAATTACGGGTCTGTTCTTTATTTTAACACAACCTCGAGCTGAAATACATTACTTTTTTCCCTTGTATTAATAACCTATAAACCATTTCTGGAGACACTAAAATGAGCTGTCGTATCCAACAATACAAGGCACATGTCACATGTTTCTATCGTAAAAAGAAGAAGTCTAACCTTTGAGTTTGACATAACCTCAAAAATCAAAATTTATAAATTTTACAATGTTTCATAATAAATTTTAGTGTGTTATTCAGTAAAATAAATATATTAACTATGGCTACAAAGCATTTGGCTACGGCTACAGTAAGAGCTGTACAACGCAAGTTATTGCCTACCAGAGCAGCTTTGTATTTGACACCATCAGCAATTACCAAAATAAAAGACATACTTAAGGACAAACAATACATTGGTCTCAAAATCGGAGTAAGGCAAAGAGGTTGTAATGGTCTCTCTTATACATTAGATTATGCCAAGGAGAAAGAAAAATTAGATGAAGAAGTTATTCAAGATGGTGTAAGAGTATTCATTGACAAAAAGGCACAATTGACACTATTAGGTACCGAAATGGATTTTGTAGAATCTAAACTTAGTTCTGAATTCGTTTTTAATAATCCTAATATAAAAGGGACTTGTGGATGTGGAGAATCATTTAGTGTATAATAGAAATGATAGTAGTATATTGTATATATGTGTGATATTTTGCAATAGGTAATTCTACAAGATTGTAACTCAACACAGTGTTATTTTAATTTAATGCACAATTTATCGTTAATTAAATATTTGAATTGAAATTTTCTAGTTTTTTTAATCAATTATTTCTATTATTTAGTTTTTAATAACACAATATACAAATTTATTAAAAATATATATGTGAAAACATAAATAATACAGATTCAATTAAAACTAACAAATCCTAGAGGTTGTTACTGTTTCTGGAGAAATATTAATTAATTAAATAATATATGTACTTGGATTTTAAATTTAGTTACAGATTTCATTTTCTCTGTAAATGCCTTATAATGATCTAGACCAGGGGTCGGCAACTTTTCTGACGTTAAGAGCCATTTTTTTCAATGTGGTAAACTATTTTTGTAATTCTATAAGTACATATATTGATAATATTAGAAAAATTATATATTTTGAGGAGATTGGGCTGCAAGGTTAGCTTAAGCTAGTTTTATCTGCATGTGATTTGCTGAAAATTTTGATGTGTGAGCAGAATTATTAAAATATGTTTAGCAATGTCAATATTACAGCTAATTTTTCAATAATATTAAACTACTCAAGAGCAACAAGTATGAAACTAGTGAGCCACATGCCGCTCACGAGCCCCAAGTTGCTGATCCCTAATCTAGACCTTTAAAGAATAGTGAATTTTGTGATGCACTCTTAACAGTTTTAATGTAAAAGTTATTTCTGATCCAATTTGGATAACTGTGCACTTTAACGTGATAATTAAGATTTTCTTTTAGGTACATCGGAAGTAACCCATGTTTGATTTTATAAATGAAAACTAATCCATTTCTTAATAAGAGACTTTTGATTGGCAGAAGTTTCAAGCATTAGATTAATGTGGGTATATTTTGAACAGAATATTATTTGCATTTCCCTATTCTGCAACTTCTGCAGTTGGTTCAACTCATTTTAATTTAGAAAAAAAAGTTGTAGAAGAATAATTAAAGCAATGTGTTATACAATATATCTCACCGAGTGTCTCACTAAGTTTTAACCATAATATGAAAAACTTTTTTATTGGTTTTGTGACAAAATTTCTTGATAAAAAGTTCTGCATGGTCCAAAACTTAAAATGCAACCATCAGATATCAATTTTTTTAAGCCGTCAAAAAATATGATTTTTGCTGAGAAGTAAAGTACCTTTATTTAGACAAACCTCATTTACGACTGATAAAATTTGATATCCAATAGTTATATAATAGGTTTCAGACCATACTTGACTTTTTATGAAGAATAACTTTTTTCCTAATATTAATAATAAAAAGTTTTTCATATGTGACCATCTTATGTAAACAGTTTTACACCAATAAAATAAGGAACTACACTGTTTCAGATAGTTCTGCATGATGTGAGATGTTTAACTTTAAAGAACTTATATAGTTCATAAAAACTAAAAATAAAGTCATCTTTATATTGCCAATTTAAGAAGACACTTTATGTAAATAAAAGCCTATCAAAAATCAAATATTTTTGTTACAATAATTAAAAACTGTGTAGATAATAAACTAATTACCATTTGATTCCAAAACTTCTGAAGTCAGTCTAATTGTAAATGGAAAATCACTTGGCACCACAGGAGCCAATGATTTCTCAGCTAGAGCTCCATGACCCATTTCTCTTCTACCTATGGGTCCTATTTTACCAGTCTCTTTAGTTGCAAATGGGGGAAACTCATAATGAAGGAAAAAGTTCTTCTCCTTTACCCCACTTAAAAATAAGAAAAAAAATTTTGATGTACTATACTGCCGTCCTATGAAAAAACCCCCTATCTCCAAAAATTAAAAAAAAAGTATTACCATATAAATGTTTCTGGTAATATAAACTACCATTTACTAAAAAAAACCTTATTTGCTTTTTTTGCGTAAATTTATCATAGAAAATTATTTCCCCATAGAGCTTTGCGGCGAAACAAAATGTTAAACCGCGTTTTTCTCGAAATCATGTTTTCTAGAGATACGGGGGTCTTTCTTAGGACGGTAGTATACTAAATATTATTTTAAATACTAGTGAACTTCTTATGTGACTAGGAGAGGAAGTTTAAAGAAAATGAGTGAGATACTTTGATATCTTAAGGAAAAATGAAATGATGATTGCAATTTAAATTAAAACGACACACAATATTAAATTAGTACCTGGTTAACACACTTAATGGGTCCAATTTAAGTGCACTGTCATGGGAATCTAAGGTAACAGTACAAAAAACTTGCGTTTGACCTCTTTGAAATACAGCTGATCCATGCAAAGGTTTGTACATGTTAACTTTGCAAGATATATTTCTCAATTCATGATATTCTCTACCGTCACACCGTTTTCCTTGCTCAAAAATCAAGTTGCGAAAAATTTCTTTAACTATTTTATTATATCCTTCATTCATTAAATTAAAATCAATGTCCACAAAACTAGATTTTATTTTTTCAAATACATCATTTCGTATCTCTGAAAGTGCATTATCTCTACCAAGTTTGTCATAAGAATAATTTTTGAATATTTCTGTAACTCTCATTTGTGTTAGAGATCTTAGTGCTTCCATTACTTCTTCTGACAATTCGTCAGTGCCACTAAATTCTCGTTTGGGTTTACCAAAAGCTTTCTGGAGTTCTTCTATTTTACTTATAATATGTTGTGTCTCTTTTACACCAATTTTAATTGCTTTCTGTAAATCCTGAAGTAATATAGTATTAGCATTGGCTTCTAACATGACAACTAAGTTTCGTTTCATTGCAGATACAATCAAATTTAAAGAGGAAAGTTGCTGTTCTCTCCTAGTAGGGTTTATAATCACTTCATTTTCTATGAAACCAACCCTTACAGCCCCTATAGGACCATTCCAAGGAATATCACTTAAACTTAGTGCTGCAGAAGCTGCATTTATAGCTAAAACATCCGGACTATTGACTCCATCTACTGCTAACATATTACAAATTACTTGTGTTTCATTATTGAAATTTTCAGGAAATAATGGCCTTAAACTTCTATCAATTAAACGAGAAGTTAATATTTCTCTTTCACTTGGACCTAATTCTCGCCTAAAAAAGTTGGTAGGGATTCTACCCGCTGCGGCAGATTTTTGTCTGTAATCTACTACAAGTGGCAAGAATCCTGTTACTGTAGGTTTTGGCTTTGAAACAACTGTAACCATAACAGAAGTATCCCCAAGACTTGCAACTGCACAACCATCTGCCATACGTGCATATTGGCCTGTTGATAAAATCAAGTTTCGGCTAAAAAAATAATTTAGTAAATCTGTGTACCTAGTGGGTGACTTATAGGGAGAGTATTATTATTATAAAGAAAATATTGTTTTACCCGCTAGAAAAAGATACATCTACTTCTTGAATGCTTGGAGCATCACTATTAGATCGAACAGCTTTAAAAAGCGTACTTTTTACTTTGTTAATGTTTTTTAAAGATCTCTTTGAATACTTAGTATTTCTAAGAAACATTATTTAATTTTTGAATTTAATTTTATGGCTCCCTTCTTAACTGTACATAACCGCACTTTTATTATTTCGTCTTCTTTTTTCTTTACATGTATATCATGGATTTTAAAGGTCTTGATATTTTGTGCTTGTTAGCCACCTCGTAATCTTATAATTTTAATTTATTTATGTCTGTGATTGTTGTTAAAATAAATTGCGTTATTTTTATATAATTGTTTTATTCGAAGCAGCGCGTAATTATAATCACTTGTAAAATATTAGATTTTTCTAGGATGAGATCTAGTGAAATTCCAAAACGATAAGTTGGCTAGGGTGCATTAGCAGCTAACGTCAAAACCTTAAATTATTTTTAAATGTCAAAGTCAACCCAAACCTGAAATGGATGTTCGAAGGTCGATCTCAAATTTGAGTAGTGATAATTTGAAGAATTTTTCTGTTTTTATACTTTCCTATCAAAAATATAGAAATTTCAGACATCGCGTTTGATATCAAAATATATTTTTTCTTTTTCCTAATCGATTTACATATTATTGAGGTGACTCATCATCGCTAGCTGAAAAGTTGGTGTTGAGTTGCCACACGTGAGGTGGTATTTTGAGGTTCGGTTCTAAATAGAAACTGCAATATGGAATCGTGGGGTGAGTCTATTTTTATTATTGCTGATTCGAAATTTTATTAGCGGTATCTTTTTTTCGATATAGATGACGATAATTTTGAGCCTGCGCCCCCCACATCATCGGTTCTTCTTCCCGGTAATAAATGGGAAGGCGAAGATGAAGATGACGATGTTAAAGTAAGATTTAATTGAAATACCTTTCATCTTAATGTGCACAAAAAATGCTTTTATATATTTGCTTATTTAAATACTTAAAAATAAATCAAATATGTTTTGCCAAGGTTATTTAAAAATTAAGTAGGTAATTGTTTTGCTTTCCTTCTCAGGAAAGTTGGGAAGATGAGGATGAAGAAAGGAAAGAGAAAGAGGAAGCTGCTAAGTCTGAGGCGGATGTAAAGAAACCTAAAAAGAAGTCTTTGGCTGAAAGGATGGCAGAAAAAGAGGTAGGTAATAAAAGAAAAACTAGCAACTTGTATACAATTAATTTATATTGTAAATTTTCATTGAATTTTGAAGGTGGATATGTGTTCAATAGGAATGGCACTATTATTGGTTGGATGACATCTTGGAGGTGATAAACAAAAGGTTAACTTTAATGACACAATTGTCAGAAAAGGAGGATTAACATTGCATTCGGTTTGCCAAGTTCCTTTAACTCTTTTAACTCCAAACGACCCTTTTAGCGTTCGGTTTAGTCCGATTAGTGACAGTTTGCCACCCTTAAATGTCATTTAAAAGCACCCTAAAATTTGTCCCGCTCCAGCCCCTGACTGTCCGAACTCGCCTATTAATGTAAAAATTTCCCAAGGAGGTGTTCTTAGTCATCTTTGGTTATACTATCTATTTTTTTTTATTTTAAGAAGAATAAACATTTTATAATATAAAATCAAATAAATTTACAATGAGAAATTATTCTTAAAATATGCACCTAGATGCAAAAACATCTGTATGTGCAATAGAAATAGATTAAAATTACATAAAATTAACAATACCTAAAAACAAAACATTTGATGATTAAAAAGACATTAATATATAAGACTAGGTATTTATAACAAATTTGAGAGGTAAAAATATTTATCAAATATAAATTTTCTGATCGCTTTAGAAAAGGTTTTCATGTTTTTTATTTGTCTGATATTTTCACTTAAAGAGTTGTATACTTTTGGCCCAATTGAAGAAATGAATCTTTTATTTCCATCATATTTAAAGAATGGTACATTTAGCATTCTTCTCTTTTGTTTTTGGGTCATATAAGAGTGGTTTACAAAATTTTTATTTTTCAGTTTGAAATAGAACATACAGCTAGAGTGAAAGTATAGTGATCTTACGTTTGGAGTGGATTCGTTGTATAAGAGGGTTGTTGAAAACAAACAACTTTTATGATTTATTGTCTTTAAGATATAATTTTGAATGATACTTAAAGGATGTAGGACATTGTCATATAAACCACCCCATACAATTATGCCATATCTAATTAAGGATTCAATGAAAGCAATATATTTCAAGTGTAATAACTTTTTATTTAGAATGTTACGAATTAAATAAAATTTATATATGTTTTCTTATTTTGTTTGTTAAGTACTGAACATGATCAATCCATTTAAGATTTTTGTCAACTATTATTCCCAAATATTTAGCATTTTCCACTTCTTTGATGATTCTTCAATACAAATCTGTTTGAAGTTAGGCCTGTTAGCATCTGTGAGTGAGAATGCCATATATACTGTTTTCGATATATTTAAAGATAGTTTATTATAATCCAACCAGTCTTTCATAATTCTTACCCCTTTAACCACTTTTGATTTTACAGCCTCCCAAGTTTTACCTTCAAACATTAATACGGTGTCATCTGCATAGGATATTGCTATACCATTTATATCTAAGTTTAAAATAGAGTTGATATAGATGATAAAAAGAATTGGACAAAGGACATTTCCTTGTGGCACACCTATTTGAATTTTAACAGGATTACTAAATTCATTTTTAATTTTAACTATCTGTGTTCTCTCGTGTAGGTAGTTTTCAAAAATTTTTAAAACCATTCCTCAAGAACATTTAGTAGTTGCTTGTGAGGAACAGTGTCAAAAGCTTTCGCGAGGTCGATAAAAACGCTTATATTCGTATAATCTTTTTTTTTTAACATTTTTTAAAAATGTTTGCAAAATTTGTAATCAGACTGATTGGTCCGTATTTTGACACATCTTTTTTGGATCCGTTTTTAAAAACTGGATTTACAATTGATATTTTAAGTTCTTCCGGTATCTTACCTGTTGTAAAGATTAGGTTTATAATGTGCATTAGAGGCTCTATTATGTATCGGTGACCATTTTTCAACATTCTAGATGTAATTCCGTCAATCCCAGGAGCACTGTTATTTTTTAACTAATTTATATGTTCTATTAATTCATTTTTATTGACAGGATTTAATGCCATTGAGTTGATTAGAGGTGGATGGATATCTTATTAGGAAGTCATCTACAGAATTGATTTTAGTTGCCATATCTATACCAATTTTTGAAAAATAGTTATTGCAGTAGTTGGCCATTTCTTTGTCATTTGTAAATTGTTTATTATTGTTTAGAATATTAAAATCATTGTTTGTTTTATTGTTTCGGTGTTCATTTGAAGCTTCTTCAACTATTTTGAATATTTTTTTAATATCATTGTTACTATTTTGAATTTGAATTGTATAATAATCATTTTTAGCTTTATTTATTATTTTATTTAGTTGGTTACGATATATCCTATATTCTCTTAGAAGATTGTTGTTTTCGGTTTTTAATATTTGCTTTTTCATTTTATCCCTGTTTAATAGACATGATGATGCCTTGACTTATCCATGGTTTTATTTTTTTATAAGTATTATTCCTATTAGTTATATTACAATTACATTGTTCTTTAAGGGAATATATTATTTCAATAAATTTCTGGTAGGCCAAAATTGGATTGCTCAGTTTACATTTTCTATAATTTTGTAAATCTATATCGGTGTATTGTGTTGTATGTTGGTTTACTGTATTATGGTTAAAGTTTCTTTCGTTTGTTGTAATATTTAAAAAATTGGAAAATGATCAGTTAGATCAGTGTCAATTACCAACGATTTAAATGAAAAAAATTTATTTTGCATATTATTTTTTATAAAAATATCAATACGTGATTTCGTTTCTACAGTAACTCTGGTATATGAGTTAATATATGATACAAATCCCGAGGAAAATAACATTGCCAAATATCTATTTGTTATTTGGTTTGAGGGATCAAGGATATTAATGTCGCCAATAAATATATACATTCCTAGCCTCCTTGGTATATTATTTAAGAAATTTTCAAAATCTGTAAGAAATGTATCATCTGATATGGATGGAGATTTATAACAAGGCATTACTGTATAGGGCACACCATTATGACTAAATGTTATTGAGCTTATCATTACATTTGATAGAGGCAACTTTGTATGTTCTATTTCAAACTGAATGTTGTTTTTAATATATAAAACTACACCATCACATTGATTATTCACACTTTCATTAAATTTATTGATAAAACCAGGTATAATTAAATTATCAAGTTCAATAACATTACGTGTTTCTCCTAATATTATTATATCCAAGTCCTTTAAACCACATCTTGAATGCTATTGATATAATTTGAGGATTGCAAATATATTATAATAGTTTTAGCTTGCAGTAATACAAATCTGGGCACAGTTGTCAAAAAGTAATATATCGTCCTCAATATCACGAAGTGATGTAACTCGATTTTCACAACTTTACAAGAGACCGTTTTAAAGTTTTTTTTTTGTAAAGTTACGTCTCTTCGTGAAATTATCAGATACACTGGTTAGATACGTGCTATTTTTAACCGACTTCAAAAAAGGAGGAGGTTATCAATTCGTCGCAATATATTTTTTTTTTATGTATGTTCAGCGATAATTCTTTAACACGGTGTCCGATTTCAATAATTCTTTTTTGTTAGAAAGGGGCTACTTCAGGGGCGGTCCCATATAAATTTGGTCAAAATCTAATAATTGGGTCCATGAGAAAATCCTCAAACTCTTCATTTTTTATGTATGTTTAGCAATAATACTTTACCACCTTGTCCGATTTATATGATGTCTTTTTTTGTTAGTAAGGGGGTACCTCAGGGGTGGTCCCATATAAATTTGGTTAAGATGTGGTGATGGCATCTGCACGTTTTTGAAGTCGGTTTTTTTAAATTTTTAATTTCTAATACTTGTAATAAATGTAATGAATTGAGATACGCAATTTCGTGAAATTGTAGAGCATACTTTTTTTACATAATATGTGACTTATCTCAATTTTCAATTTTTTCGAGTTATGTCACTTCGTGATATTGACGACGATATATCCTGCTTAATATTATCTTTACTCTTTAAATAAAAATGTCTCATTTCCTAGGCAACCAAAAAATGTGAATGCCCTACTTCATTTTTTTATTAAAATGAAATTCTCTGACCTTTGACATTTTAATGCCATATTTTCTTTTGTTTATAAATTTATAATATGGCTTACAGTGGCTACGTATATCTCAAACTAAAAATGCTTTAAACTGTTTCTAGGGAAATTAAATGACATATTACAGAACTCGTCCCTATGAACCACCTGTAAATATCTAGTCGAGCTCTTTTCAAGTTTTAATTATGTTTTTGTGAAAATTCCACACCTGTAATTTTGAACCAATCAAAATACGTGTTTTTGACAGATCACCATGGCAACGGAGGTATTTTAGTGGAAATTTTTTTCTCGTGGGGTACCCAACAGCGAATTATACTGGAAATTTTTTGACGTTTACAATAACAGACCATTTTTGACAGACTGGTTTTTATTTGTTCACATAATAGGTTTAGTTTTGATACATTTTAGTTACAATGCTAAGGTGTTTTCTATATTCTTCGGCCACTTCTTTTCTTCTTAATGGCGAAAATGCATGACTTTGGATGCTTTGAATTATGTGTCTATGTCTAATAAAATATATATAATATTTAGACACTAATTTATTCACCTTTTTCCCATTCAGCACTTTGAATTTTGCGTAGTTTAGGTGCAAATATTCGTGGACAATTCGGAACAAATTTTCGTTTTTCAAGTTGGAGCCACAATCCTCTATTAATCCGAGTAAGTAAGTCATGGTGCAATGATTGATCATTACATCAGACAATTTCACGCATATTTTGCATAGCGTATGATTTTCAAATCGATTCATTTTTAAACAAATAGGTAATTTTGTTGGTTTTACTTGCTGTGCAATATTCTTTATCGCAACAAAACGCGAGTTATTTAATGTTTTGAACTGTCAAAATACAATGATCACAGCCTCCTACGATTGATGCTTGCTGACGCTGGTTATGAATTTCATACCATTTTAAAGCGCTCATAACGCATGTTAATAAAAACGCAGAAAAACAATTTTCTACCACTTGTAGTTATTCAAAACTTACGTAAAATTAAAGAATATACTATTTTCTATTTTCAAATGGTATTCCCATGCAACTACAATGAGTAGAAATAAGCAATTTGAAGGCCTAAATAATTGCAGCGAAACATTTTTTTACGTCGGGCCGCTTGACAACACCCTGTATCTCGAAAATGGTGCATAAAAGTTCTTATGTAAGCTAACTTAAATAGCACACGTTCGTTTTTCCCTGATTATTAACTGGTTTTATCACTATCTGACACTTCGAACATGTACGTGACAATACCCCATGCTTACAGAAACATTCCATTAACAGTTCAGGTGAATTTAAAATCACATAAAAACCGGCATAATTTAAACAACAACCATCACATATTCCCGTACATTTTCATCAACTTCTAAAGCTCGACAAAAAACAAGTCGACAGTAAATTTGCTAAAGCTATTTTTTAATTAATTTGGAAAACTTTCTCAAACATTACCTCGTGATGTTGACTTAAAATTGAAACAAAGGATATGGATCCATCTGTGATTTCCTTGTAGTATTCTCGCAATCAACAGGTAAAATGTAATTTATTATATGCAGACGTAACAGTGTTGTCAAACTTTCTTTTTTTTTTCTCTCTCTAATTCTCGAAGAGTTAGTATTTCATTATTTATATTTTTTATTAGTGGGAAGTGAGATGCCTTCTAGACGAGGTGTATCAGAGTAAATTTTAGATTGGAATGAGCTCTGTGACATTATGAACAATGTGCCATTGCGTCTAAATCGGTTATTAAGAGAAACTTATTATATTTTCTCAGTTAAATTATGCAAATCGATGTTATATAACTACCATTCTGTTTCAAAAATGGAATTTCGCTGTGTTTAGTCAAATAGTTTATTTGGGTGAATGTTAATTGTATGCAACACAAGTGTTAACATTATTGACTTCCCCTTCTCAGTTATGCCAAAAAGTGAGTTACTACAATCTTCCTTGCAGGCGTTGAAATGTACTCAAAATGAACCAAATAAATTACAAATTACATTTTTTTTACTAGTTTCATAAGTAATTATATTTGTTACATATCTTTAAAATATTGTTTATAGTAAAAGCGAAAGCTTAATTAAAATGACGCGTAATGAAATTACATATTTTAGAGATTAAAACGGGAAGAAATGGAACGGCGGCTCAGAGAAGAGGCCGAAGATGAAATAACGCCCGAGGAACGTTTGCGTTTACAAAAAGAATCAGACTTACAAATAGCTCTTGCGACTACTTTTGGTGCCGCTAACAAAACCAATAACCAAGACAACGGTGGAGTGCTCACCGATCTCTCTATGCCTAACACTAAAGAGGAATTCGACACGTTTACAGAAGAGCTGTCCAAGAAACTAGTCGGGCTGTCCAAAAGTTTAGAATACCCAAATTTCGTTGAAAACTTGTCTAGAAACTTATGTGCCACAAGTAAGTTGTATCCACCCTTTCTTTTGATTTTCCCACGAAACACGTAACTGACACGTGAGCAAATAGCGGAAACAATAATTATAACTAGGTACCTTTAAAAAAAGTACTTTGTCTCTTTACAGTTCGCAATATTTTTTGTTTCAAGTAAAATTTCGGAAATTTGCATTGAGGACAAGAAACATTTAGCATATGTTACACTTTTTAATTAATTGTAAAAAGTTCGCCAACTTAAGAGTACGGTCCGATATTAATCAAAATATTGGTTACTCAGTCCACTCTGTTTGAATTTCCTGAAAAACCGGTTAAATTAGGGACGCAGTTTCCTGAAAAATGGTGATTCAAACGTCAATTCAATATCCGGTTTGTTTTTACGGTTATCGTTAGGTTGAATGTCAATCTGTCACAGTAGTGACGTGATAATTCCTTATAGGAATTGCTGTCAAAAATACTGGTTAGTTACAGTTGATAGTTGGTTAATATCGGACCATACCCTTAGTTACTAAACAGATATACCAACTTAATCAATGCAACTGGTTTTGCCACTATACCAAAGGGAAAACTAAAGTACCATTAGCCAGAATTTCTGCTGCAATAAGACTTGTGGCAATACATTTTTCTTTCGTCTCTATTTTCTGTAATAGACTAGGCCCATATGTACAAATTTCTATATAGTTGGTTATAAAGAGTTTAATAAATGAATATGGTTTCTTTACTAAAGTTACTTTATTTCAAGAAACAATTAAAAGGTAACTGCTTTTTAAACTAAATTCATTGTATGTCTTTAATAGAATGTTGCCAAATTTAAGATCTATTTGAATGTACTTCAGTTGCTAAATTATTTGATTGTGAAGCAGTGTTACCAATAAACGAAGAATTCTCCCTTCCGAAGAATTCTCCCTTCCGAAGAATTCTCCCCTTTCCGAAGAATTTGACAAGGTTCAGAGAATGAAATTTAGCAAAGAATTCGTGAATATCATTTTTTTCAAAGACTTCAAATTCCCTAGCATATTTAGCCAATTCAAACATCTACTTGTAAACTAATACCGGACTTGTATTTCCGTACACAGCCCGGCGACTGATAAAATTTCCTTCTACAAGAAAAAAGCTAGTTGAGCAGAGAATCCCATATGTTTTCAGAGAATCAATGAGAAGCTTATGACGACACTGGCATGGAGTGTCAAGTTGTAGATTATAATAATTACATGTTAAATTTTATTTTACAAAGTCATTGTTTTGAGTTGTGATAAACGAAAAAGTATGCCATTGCATTCAACTGAACGAATGTATTTCATATCCATTCCACCTAGTAAGAACACTGCAAAAAAAATTAAATCCACCAACCACAGTTCATATTTTGGTCATCATTTTAAAGATTAACTTAAAAATATGTATATATTAGTTGTCATTATTAGTTAACACACTCTATTTTGATGAAGGTCGATAACCCATTGGCGTAGAACCAAGGGCTAAGAAAACAATTTTAATCCAAACTTTTTGAACACCCTATATTTCATAAAACTTAAGATTAATAATTATTCCTCGCAAAATTTGTTACAAAAAAGGGACTCTTGATTGATCTCTGTAGAACAGGCCTGCACAACTCAGATTTTCAAAGGACCAGCTTGAGAAACTAAGTGTATGAGGGCCAAGAGAGACCTGAGCAAAAAAAAAGGTCCTCACGTTATAATTCTGCCGAGCTTTTCTAAAAAGAAAGGTCGTCAGCCTAAATGTAAGTTTGTTACTGAAAAATGCATAGTTTGACGTAGGCGGGCCAAACTAGATAATGGCCAACGGGCCGCCAAAACGACAATGACGGGCCGCATGCGGCCCGCGGGTCGTATGTTGTGCAGGCCTGCTGTAGAACATTCCATTTTCAAGATTTTTCAGTTTTAGTCCTACTCAAACATGAAATCTATGTACATTATGAAATTAAAAAAAATGCAAATTTGTATTAAGGGTTGATTTCAAAATTAAAATTAAAAGGCCCTTTAGCTAATGGGACCAATATGACCATAAATTCATAGGCCCATTAGATCAGTGCTCCGCAACCGGTGTGCCGCGGCACACTGGTGTGCCGTAAGCCGACTTGAGGTGTGCCGCTCTTGCAGACAATACGAATCAGATTCGTATTGTAGCGAGACCCGCGAAAAATAAAGCAATCTGACAACAGCGCCGATGGTAAACGTCTATCCGTCTATCGGCGCGGCGGCTTGATTCTCGAAGGTGACTAAACTAGAAAGATCCGTGCCGTTCGAGGCGCGACTCGATGTTTTCCTGAACATCGCCACTGCCTATATAAGCGCGCCTGTCGTCGCTCAGAGAGAGTGAATCAGATAAATACGCGGGCAAACAAATAAATCGTAGAGTGAAATAAATAGTGAATTGCTATATAAATAAATTCTTGTGCCTTATAAATAAGTGAACTGGACTAAGTTTTGTTGCAGTATCTACTTTTATAAACAACTATAGTGCTTCAAATATGGATAAATTTTTGCTGAAATCACGAGCAGATGACGAAGAACCTAGCACAAGCTCCAGCATAAGTGCTGCAAAAAGAGCAAAAAAGGTGCTGAAAAGGAAGTACAATCAAGACTACCTTCGATATGGTTTCACTTGGTGTGGCGACGAAGCGGCTCCAAAGCCTGAATGCGTCATTTGCGGTGAACAGTTGTCAAATGAAGCAATGGTACCCAGCAAACTAAACCGTCATTTGATCACAAATCATCCCAGTTGCGTCAAAAAAGACATTCAATTTTTCCAACGGCGCTTGGATCAAAATAAGAAACAAAAGCAGTTTATGAAATCGGCGGTTACGGTTTCTGAAAAGGCATTAGAAGCAAGCTACCTTGTTGCAAAATTAATTGCACAACAAAAAAAACCGCACACTATCGGTGAAACGCTTATTAAACCAGCATGCATGGAAATTGTTAGACTTATGCTTGGGCCAAACGAAGTTAAGGACGTGAGTAAAGTTTCTTTGTCGGCCGATACTGTTAAAAGACGTATCCAAGATATGTCAAGTGATATTTTGGGAACACTAATTAAAAAAATCATTTCGGCTGGAATTTTTGCGCTTCAAATCGACGAATCAACCGATATTAAAAATAAAGCACAACTGATGGCTATTGTACGTTTCGTTGACGAGGACTCTATTAAAGAACATTATTTATTTTGTAAGGAGGTTCCAGAGAGAACTACCGGTGAACAAATTTTCCAAGTAACTGATAATTTTTTTAAAATACATAATATTCAGTGGACCAATTGCGTTGCTATTTGTACAGATGGTGCTGCTGCAATGATGGGCAGTAAGAAAGGTTTTGTATCTTGTGTAAAACAAAAAAATCCGTCAATACAAATTACACATTGCTGCATACATCGAGAAGCATTGATGGTCAAAAATTTGCCCGAACAGCTTTCGATCACAATGAATGAATGTATTAAGATCATAAACATAATTAAATCGAGAGCCTTAAATTCGCGAATCTTTGGAATACTCTGTGAAGAAATGGGAAGCGAACATGAATCCTTACTGTTTTATACAGAAGTTCGTTGGTTATCCCGGGGAAAAGTTTTAGCTCGACTGTTTGAACTTCGCTACGAAGTGCATGAGTTTCTTTCAAGTCAAGATATGTACGATCTATGCCAGCACCTTCATGATGAATACTGGATAGCCAAACTTGCATACATGGCGGATATATTCGAACATCTGAATGAACTTAATAAAAAAATGCAAGGACGGAATGAAAATATATTGACGTGCTCCGATAAATTACAAGGGTTCAAAAAGAAACTTGAACTTTGGCAGGAACAGTTGCAAAAAGGATGTCTAGAAATGTATCACAGGACCAACCACAGTACGATCGAAAACAAGCAGTTGATTGTGGATTTGGCCCAACAACATTTAAGTATGCTTCAACAAAAATTTGAATACTATTTCCATTCTATCAACACGGAACAATACAATTGGATTCGAAATCCTTTCGCAACCAATGCAATAAGTTCCACGGAAGCACTGCCATTGCAAACTCGAGAGGAGTTCACAGAATTAAGTAATGATATGACCCTAAAACTTAAATTCGACGAAGTTCCGTTAGATGTTTTCTGGATTTCCATCAAGACAGAATATCCACGCATCACCGACAAGGCCATCTTCACACTACTTCCGTTTTCCACAACATATTTATGTGAGCAAAGTTTTTCAACGCTTGTATTAATTAAAAATGATAAACGGTCATGCTTAAAAGATCTTGACCAAGAAATGAGAGTTGCGCTGTCTAAAATTGAGCCGAATATAAAACTTTTGTGTTCAACGAAGCAAGCGCAGGTATCACATTAATCAGTCATCATCATGTCAAAATATTTATTACTATTGACGTGTCAACAGAAGTAAATTTAGTATACCTACCTGTCCTACCTAGTATTTAGTATAGTTCTCATGTATGTACCTATTTGTATTTTTCATTCTATCTGAATAATAAAAAAAAATAAAAAAAAAATATGTATTATGTCCTGAGTGAAAATTTTGATGCCCCAAATCTGAAAGGGGCTTCTTCACATTTTAAAACAATAAAAAAAACTAAGGTAGTTTGGACATCCATAAATAATTAGTATACATGGAGTGAACTGACCCCCGACCTAGCTACGCCACTGCTATAAATATATTTTAGATTTTGGTGTGCCACGAAATTCTAGGGAGCAGTTTGGTGTGCCTCAGATGAGGAAAGGTTGCGGAGCACTGCATTAGATAATGGACCTTTTAATATTTATTATGAAATAGACCCTTGATAAAATTATACATAGATTTCATGTTTGAGTAGGACTAAAACTGAAAAATCTCGGAAATGGAACGTTTTACGGAGATCAACCAAGAGTCCCCTTTTTGTGAGTAATAATAATTAATCTTAACTTTTATGAAATATAGGGTGTTCAAAAAGTTTGGATGAAAAATGTTTTTATAACCCTTGATTATACGCCTATGGGTTATCGTAATTTATCGAAATAAAGTGTGTTAACTAATTAAGACGATTAACTGACATATACATATTTTTTAAGTTAAAAAGATATTTAGAAAATTATGTATTTATGAAATTCACTTTTTCACCCTGTAGAATAAATTCTTAATAATTATTTAAGATCTACAAAGTCTCCCAAATTAAGGTACTTTATTCTGAAACATCCTGTATATTTGTCCAAGGTCTGACAGAAACTGCAACTAATGAAGATAATATAGATGTTCAAGAAAATCCTAAAACATTACATATGAACTGTCAAGAAATTATGGTATTAGTAGAAAGACTGTACAAAACATTTATGTAAACAGACCAACTAATATAAATGAGTTAAAGATTCTTATACGTCTTGAAATGCAGGCAATTTGTCCAGAAATGATCACTATTTCTCTTTGGAGCTTCCAAGATAGATTGTATTATTGCCAAGAAACAGCTGGTCAACTCTTTAAGCACTTGTGAAAAAACTGCGTTTTTCTTTTAGTTATTAATTTTGTAAATTAATGCAATTGTTCAACAATTATATGTAATTTTTTCTTGTATTACATTAGTAATGTGATACTTTTTCAGGATTCTTGAAAAGAGGAAAAAATAAGTTTTTCTCTGATATAAATAACACTCGACCTACGTTGGCATTTAAAAATTCGCAAGATGGCGGCGCTACGCTAACAGCTGACGTCACGTAAATTTGACATGACCTCCAAAAAATGCCTTAATACAATCTCGTTCATCACCCTTCAATTTCATAATTATACATTCATTCGTTTCAAAGAAAATACCTTGTTACCAGACTTTTTCGCTACCCTGTATTTATGTTGTTTGCTAATCGTCAGCCATAATGAATTTTTTTGACAGAATGTTGATTTATCTAATTGCCGCAATTTTACTTGCAACCACGGAAAATTGCGCAAATCAATTAAAAAAAAAAAAACATTTTTCATAATTGTGGAAAAAATGTAATAGCCCATTCTCTTTTTATTGAAATCACGGAATTTGTAGCATATTTCTACTTCTGTTAACTGTTTATCAGGGCCGACGAGAGGAGGGGGTAGCCGGGACTAATTCCCGGGGCCGGCAGCTTGCTGAGGACGTTTTTGTATTTTTAGAAGTTCGCCACAAGAGGGAGGACCTTTTTTTTTGGTTTTTTTTTTAAGAATTCACTGAAGAGGAGAAGTTTTTGCTGAAAGACCTTTTTTTTAGAAATGTGATATTGAAACTACTTAATTTTTTTATAAAATTGTCAAGGTGCCCGACTTGGAAAATTTTCCCGGAGCCCGATCTGGCTCTCGGCGGCCCTGCAGTTTATTGATATTTCATTGCGTTTTTATTATTGTCTAATTCTTTATAAATATTTCAGTGTCGTCCCTGGATATAAAGAGAGTGAAAAACTCGTTAGATAATCTATTTTTGGAGAAACAGAAGATCGAAAAGGGCGATAAAGTGAAAAAGAAAGGAAAGGGCAAAGCTAAATTGCACATCGAAGGAGAAAATGTAAGATTTTTATTTATTTTTTTTTTGATATGACATAAATTTGCCCGTTTTTTTTTTTCAGCAATTATCACAACTCTCAGCTTATGTTAACGACTTTGATGAATTTGATGATTTCATGTAGCAACAGAAACTTCGGATATCTAACTATTGTATTTTAATATTTTTTATCTAAGTTATTCAAATTGTTACATAAATTCCTAATTGAGAAGTGTATTTTATCAATTAATGCAATATATTCCCAATTAGATTAATCTTGTTTCATTTTATAAAAAAATAAGTGAGTGCAACTATTTTTGAGAACTCTCTTCATCTGCAGTCGACAGAAGATAAAACATCAAATTGTAAGTGACAAAAAATGTTTCTAAAGTAGACCGCAAATACAGAGATACTAGTAATGTCTGTGATAAGTACGCACGCCTCTAAATTAAATCTAAACTGCTATTAAAAAAATAAGAATTAGTATGCTCAGACATTCTTTATTTTTTCCGTGGCCTACTTTAGAACCATTTTTTGTAGATAATTCCATATTAGAATGAAGAAAATAGAAATTCGAAACCTAATTTTCTTACAAAGGCCATTTTTTACATTTTCAAATAAAATAATGAATCGTGCAAAAATGGACGTACTAGGTATCTTTCTGACATTACTGTAACTGGTCTTCCTTCAGTTGCTTCATGTTTTTGTTTAAATCGGGACACCCTCGAAAAATCGTAAAATCGAAAATTCCGTAACGAAAATAAACCTAACACCCCCCACTCCGATCGGTGCGGCGTTGAAAGCCGTGCATCGTCTAACGTCGTTTCAGTTCGGCAGACTTCGGCATGATGTTTGTGTGCGTGCGACTAGACGTATGCGTTTAGACTAACTGCTCATAACTGATTCTATCTCTTTTAGACACAATTCCGGAAAAATTGAATTTAAAAATGAATAATGATCCACAAGAATCCACAACAAAATATGGGACCACCATTGACGCGGTATTTTCCAGATATTTAGAGGATATCAAGTCTCAAACTTATGTTTCTTATTTCAGTTACCATAAACCTATAGTTTCAATGATAAAAATTCCTGAATAATATACATGTATTGTAAGATAATAAAAATATTTTAAACAATATTTACTTCTCATTTATTCAATAAAAGAAAAAAAAATTGTTTTCTTATCGGTCACCACGCTCAAAAAGTGTAACTTGAATTAGTATCAAAGAAAAAACTTGAATTAATATCAAAGAAAAAAAAAATACTGCATAAATAAAATAAATAATTATAATTGCATAAGTTGATAAAAAAATGCTATGCAATAGCTTTACCGCGGCAGTCCCCGAGTGCCACACGTATTTTTTTTTTATTTATTTTATAATCTACGATATAACTGGACTAGGATTTCACATTCGTAAAAATTTATTGTTATGGTTATTACATCTGGAAGATATTTTGAGGTTCAGAGTCTAATTAACAGAGATTTTTTCTGTTAATTAGGCATGTAGACTATGTAAAAGTTATGATTTTATTTATTAGATATTTAAATAAGACTTATTTAATAAGTATGAATATTACATTTTCCTTAACAAAATGGAATTAATAAATAATTGTGAAGCAACTTGGATAAGGTAGGTCAGATTATTCATGGAAATATGCCAATAACCATCTGCTGGTAAGTCTAAATATTCCAACAGAAGTTGTTTGGAAAGTTAGAATATTAAGGTAAGCAAGGATCGACTTTTTTAGGTAAAAATTATGTAAATATTTTGAAAATATGAAATAAGCTTCCTAAATGAGAGCCATATTATTCAAATAATAAATTTTACTAAACTTTTTATAAAATGTATACAAATCAAATAACGTAAAAATTATAATATAGCTGCTGATTCCAGTCCATTACTATTATAAAAATCTATTATTCTTTCAACAGTAGCATACAACCTTTGGTTATATTTTTGCATATCCTTTATAACTATTTCTTCTTGATTGTCCTTATTTAGTGCTAAGGTGTATAGAAATTGCCTTCTGGTTGGTGCAAAACGAGATAAAACATTAAATAACTGGGTGCCGAGCCAACCGTGGTACTGCTCCAGAGTAGCTGAGTATGCTTTTTTTAAAAAATGTGCTAAATCATTTGTAGGACACACATTTAAAGTGTCTTCTATCACAGAGCCATAAAAAATTGATAAGAAATGCAAAGCTCTGGAAAAAGGTAATGTTAAAATTACAAAAAAAACATTCTGGATAAAGAACTTACCTTCGTAGCCAGAGCAGAGCATCTGTTGCTGTTCCTTCTCCTTGACCATGTTCCTTTATAATCATTTCCTCCAAATATTTATTGCCTTCTATGTCTTCTTCATATTTTTGGTTTAGTTTTTTTATATTATTTAACATGTCATTTGTAACGGGAGAGAAAACTTTACCGAATTTTTCAATTAAAGAGACAGCATCTGTAGCTGCTTCTAGGAACTTTTTGGTTTTTATTTTTTTTGACGAAAAATGAGAGGTCAGTGCAGAAAACGCTGTTATTTCGCTGGTTGGATCAACTGCGTTATTTTTTGACATTGCCAAAACTTACAAATTTAATTTAATGTTTAAATTATTTGATTTGGAACGTATTGCATTAAAATTTCTACTACTTATTTGCTAGAATATTTCCATTATTAATTACTTACGTCAAGGTCACACGAAATATTTTTTTTTTAAATTGAAATGGGACAGAAATTTGAAAATAGAAAGCACAGATACCGTGGCACAGACATGGCACAGATCGTAGAAAGCTTTTCGTAGTTGACAGTTTCGTGTTTTGTCCCTATTTTAATGTTTTGTCGCGGAGCTAACCGAAGTGAACGCGAAACATTAGCGTAGAAAATTATTTTATAGTTGCCAAAAACAATTTCGCGTAGTTTAAAAAATTACCTCTCTTAAGATAGTAGGACAAACAGCAGAATCGATTCAGATATATTACATTATTTAGTACTAATTTGTAACATGTGTAGGGTTGCCAGATTTACGAAAGGGAAAAGCGGGACAACGGTGACGATAGAAATCAGGTTATGAAAGGAAGTATATTAAAATTTATAAACCAGATCATCCTTTTTTTCGACGAGCTTCTAAAAAAAGCTCTTACCCCCTCAAAAAATTCTTTATTTGTAATTTTGGATATTTAAAAGCGTGGCATTTGAGTAAAAAGCGAGATGCTTTTGTACTTTGGCGTGACGCGTGTCAACAAGTGAAAAAGCGGGACAGTTACGTCTGACAACGCTATCCATGTGCCGTTTGCAAAAAAAAACGTGGAACAAACAACCTTTAGTTGAATTAAAATCTGTTATAAAGAGTAAAGTGACTTTTTGCAAGAACAGAATCAATCGTTATTTTTACATAAGAAGCAACTGTTAAAATATAGCGTTAAAATAAACCTGACACACCCCACTCCGACCGGCACAGCGGGGCGGCGTTGAAAGCCGTGCATCGTCTAACGTCGTTTCAGTTCGGCAGACTTCGGCAGGGTGTTTGTGTGCGTGCGACTAGACGTATGCGTGTAGACTAGCTGCTAACTGCTCTAAACTAATTTTATCTCTTTTAGACACAATTTCGAAAAAATTGAATATAGAATATAATGATCTACAAGAATCCACAACAAAATATGGGACCACCATTGACGCGGTATTTTCCAGATATTTAGAGGATATCAAGTCTCAAACTTATGTTTCTTATTTCAGTTACCATAAACCTATAGTTTCAATGATAAAAATTCCTGAATAACCTAAATGTATTGTAAGATAATAAAAATATTTATTTAATAAAAGAAAAAAAATTTGTTTTCTTATCGGTCACCACGCTCAAAATGTGTAACTTGAATTAATATCAATGAAAAAACTTGAATATCAATGAAAAAAATACTGCATAAATAAAATAAATAAATAATTATAATTGCATAAGTTGATAAAAAATGCTATGCAATAGCTTTGCCGCGGCAGTCCCCGAGTGCCACACGTATTTTTCTTTAAATTTGTCTTCTACAAGATATTTGAAAAATAATCCTTTGAATTCTGATAAAAAAGTACCTGACACGCCACTGGAGAACCAAACTGTCAAACATGTAAATATTCTTCAAACAAAACGTATGTTACTTATCTATTTCTTCTGTTTATCTGAGAACATTCATTGACCATTGACATTTTACTAGACCTAACCTAGTAAAAAAGTATTTTGTAATATTTTAAATTCCTCAATTTTATATTATATTATACTTTTACTTTCCATTTCATTGATTTTATACAGTAATTGATTTCTACAAAAAATTGTATTATTACCAAATGAAACATAAAAATAACGATTACTTAGCCTTGTGTTTGGAGTTTCATGGAGCATATTTATTGAATTTCGTTTTTATAGTGTAATATTTGTCATTTCAACCTTTATATTTTAACAAAATTAGTAGTGTGTTTTAAAGTTTTAAATAATAAAGATGGCTCAATCTGTTCCACTTATTTTGAAGGTATTGGCATCATCCATAAAGACAGCTGCGAGGGCTGGAAAAATCGTTAAAGATGTAATGGATAAAGGCGAATTGGGAATTGTACACAAGGTAATTTTTTAACAAACAAGATCTTAAATGAAATTATTTTTTTTTAAAGATTAGACATTGAAATATAATTAAAGCACATATTTTTTAGGTCTCAGTTGTTCATTTCTCATTCGAAGTTCTTTAATATAAGTTCTACAAACTAGAAATAAAATAAAAATCTATATTTTCAGAATACTACACTTCCAACTTTTATGAACTACTTCTTTAGATTGATAGTAATTATATATAGAAAAGTTAGGAGCTAACCTCATTCTGATTAATTTTCAGGGTGCAAGTAAAAATGATGTTCAAACTGAAGCTGACAGATCTGCCCAGCGTTGTATAATAACTTCGTTATCTAGACAATTTCCTAATATTACTATTATTGGTGAAGAAGGTACATTAGATGAAGCAGAAGTAAGTCTAATAGTATATTAAAGAATGAGTATCATAAGGTATAATACCATAAATTACTTAAAGAGTTCTTTGTACTGTTTTTTCTTAAAAGCAAACCAAATACCTTGAAAATTTATAATTCCTTTTAAGCCTTTATTTTTAGTCTGATTCTTGTGAAATTTTCAGGAAATACCAACAATAACAAAACTTAGGGTGGAGAAATTTTGAATTTTTTATAAACATTTGAAAAGTATTTATTTAGAAAATGTTTAAAAGGAAAAAAAACAATTATGCTGCATTCTGTATTAAATCTACGAAAGTTTACTGATTTTTGTTTTAATAAACATCTAGTAGTTTTTAAATGGGAGGATTTCCCACCATTTTTTCTTAAACATCTCTGTAGAGTCAATGTAGAGTGAGTGCTGCCTTATCGTTGCACAAATTTAAGGCTCTCAATATTCTCAAGACACATAATATAACGAAGTATTCCCAGTGGTGCCCATATAAATACAATTTTTGTATTCAAAAATCCTTTAAAACATTTTTTCTTTCGCAAGAGGTCCGGTTTGCTCTTAAGCCCTTTTTAAATATTTTTTTTGCTATTTTATGTCTAACATTCCTTTTAAGGACTCAAAAGTCAATTTATAGTTGAGCTTTTTCTTAATACAAAATAAAAATATTTAAAATTTTTTAGATTCCAAGTGATTGGATTGTTACTGACTTTGATGAATGTGTTTTAAAATCCACTTGTCCTCCAAAATTTATTGATACTAAGCCTGAAGACATTGTTGTATGGGTTGATCCACTAGATGGTACATCAGAATACACAGAGGTAATAAGATGTTTTAATTATCCAAAATGTACAATTATTTTTATAGTTTGTAGGAAATTAACAATTATTCTTTACAGGGACTGTTGGACCATGTGACTGTTTTAATAGGAATAGCTGTTGGTGGCAAATCAGTAGGGGGAGTGATACATCAACCCTACTATGATTATCATACAAATAGGAATGGACCTGGCAAAACTTATTGGGGTTTAGTTGGGCTTGGTGTTGGAGGATTTACACCAGGAAAAGCACCTTCTGATAAGTTTATTATTACAACATCCAGGTATGCATTTGTTGCAAAAAAAAGTATAGTATAATACTTAGGTATTTGTTTGTATTTTGTTTTTTTATACTCTAGATCACATAGAGATGAAATGGTTAATAGAGCCTTAAATGCTCTAAATCCGGATGAAATAATTAGCGTTGGTGGTGCTGGGCACAAGGTAGTGGTTCTATTGGAAGGTAGAGCTCATGCCTATGTGTATGCCAGTCGTGGTTGTAAAAAATGGGATACATGTGCCCCTGAAGGTGTATTAGAAGCTGCAGGTGGACTATTGACAGATATTCATGGCAAACATTATGACTATTCCAAAAATGCATCATTTCCAGATGCACAAGGAATTTTTGCTACAGTTCAGGGCGTAAATCATAAAGATTTGATATCAAAACTACCGGAAGAAGTACATAAGGCATTCCCTTACTAGAAGAAAATAAAATTACATTTATTGTACAGTGTGGACTGTATTTAAAAACATTTTATTTGTAAATTGACATTTATTTTTAAGATTATAAATAAAAAAGTAACAATTGATTATATGTGTAGATTTTTTTATTTCCCATTGCCACGTTTACATCCAGCACCAGCAGTAAGTCATGTGGGGAATCTCACCTATACCTAAGAATAATTATATTGAATTTAAGAACTGAGATCCTGGTTGGGGTTGAACTTATGACCTTATACTTAGAATTTCTGTATACTATTTACTCAAACATTTAAAAAATGTACAAACTTAAAAAATATTTTTAATATTAGATAGGTACTTCTCAGATTTATGAAATTTTTTAAGAAATCTGTATCGTAGATTATCTTGTCATAGAATTCTTGGCAAGTTTTATCCATAATGAATTTCACCATCAAAATAGCTTTTATTGGATTGCCACTGTCGAGGTTTCTTCTGAGCCAAGAGCACTGTACCATTTGACGTAATTTAGAAGTAGAAACCGCATGTGGTCCATATTTGGCTTCGCAGACATGGGAGGTATCCTTACGGGCCGAACTATATATAGATATATGAACGCGGCTACAATGTAATGGGCTGCCAACATTCGGCTGGGCGGACATGCCCTACTTATATGCCGAAGCTACACCCGTATATCGGGCCGAGTACGGCATAGTTGTTACGGTGCCGATTAACTGTGTTTATTGGGTTTCAACCCCCCTTATCCCCCATTTTTATTAAGTTTTTTTTTTCAAAATCAATAGGCTTTGTCCCCACATGGCTTCATTTTTGCTCAAATATTTTAAGTTTGATATAATTTTTCGTTTTTGACTTAAGATTTTTTAAATATTTTAGCCCCCTTATCATTTTTATTCAGAATCAATATAGGTTTCATCTTCATACAGAGCTTGATTTTTACTAAATATTTCATGTTGATATCGCGTTTGGTTTTTGATTTTTTTTTTAATTTCATCCCCCTTAACTCATCCCTATTTTTAATCAGATTTTTTCATAATCAATAAGCTTCGGCTTCTTATAGATTTTAATTTTTGCTAAAAATGTCAAGCTGATTTCCTTTTTGAGTTAATATATGTTTTTTTTTAATTTAACCCCCCCATTTTTATTCAGATTTTTTTAAAAATCAATAAGATTCGCCCCTTATAGAGCTTTATTTTTGCTAAAACTTTCAAGTTGATACATTGTTTTTGAGTTAGGATTTTTTTTTAATATTTTGACCCCCATTTTTATTCAGATTTTTTAAAAATCGGTATGTTTTGTCCCCTTATAGAGCTTGATGAGTTGTCCTGAAATTTTCAAGTTGATATCTTTTTCGTTTTTGACTTCTTATCGTCCAGCCAGACAAAAAACGTGACATAGGATGGACAAACATTTTTAAAATTTGTTGAAAAGAGATTTTGATGCAATCATTTTTAAATTTGGTTTAAAGAGTATAAGTTAACATAATACTCTTCACAGACTAGGTTCTGTGTGTGGTGTGAAGAATTATGCTGCGTTTGAGAATCCACATCGGATACATCCGAGATGTAAAAAATCTTTAATCACGTGGTTCAGTATACGTAAATGTAATGGGACAGATGTGTCCGATGTGGATAAAAAAACGCTCGAGATGTAAAAAATGCATCCGATGTGGATTCTCAAACGCAGCAATAATAATCGGTTTGTATTTTTTCTTATTTGGTTTACTGTATCAATGGTGGACATAATAAAAGGAGGGTTCTTCTCATAAATGGGGACGAGGGACGCAAAGTCTCTTTAGGCTATCTCTAATCTCTACTCCATGTATTTTATTTGCTATTTAAAAATTCCCAGGGGAAAAATACAAAGTTACTGCATATACCAGGAATCTATTTCGATTATTTACTTTCTCTTCTAGCTATAGAAGGTCTTTGGTGGCTGCCCAACTAAAGTTGTTCTGTGAAGTAAAGTTGGCTAACCTGAAGTATTACAGTGACAGATCACCATGTTGGGTATGTGAGGTTATGTAGACATATTTTTTTGAAAATGTCACAAATATTCGATGGAGAAGATTCTCCAGATGAAAATACAAATTTCAAAACAAATAACGAGTATGCTAAAACGTACGATGTTTGGAGGAAGAAAGAAGAATTAAATAAACGTAAGTTAACTTTTTAATTGTTTAAACTGGCTTTAATTTATCATTTTAAGTGAAAACAAAGTACGGAGATGATGTACTGGATGAGGAAGACGAGTCTTCCAGTTCATCAGACGACGAAGAAGGTGTAGAAATAACACAAGCGGTAGAGAAGGATTTCTTTAGGACGTTATCTTGTTTGAAAAATAAAGATCCTAGCATTTATAATAATTCTGTGAGTTTTTTCAATGATAGTTCCCAGGCCAAAGTTAAGAAGAAAAAGAAAGAAAAACCTGTGTTTTTAAAAGATTACGAGCGGAATTTAATACTAGAAAAAGGAGGTGTGCTAAGTGATGATGAAGAGGAAGTGGAAAGGCCAAAGTATGTGGTAATTCTTCCTCCTATTATTTTTTTGTATTTACGATGAAAATATTGCAAAAACTATTTTATATTGTTGCAGGTCTCCCACATACAATCAAGAACAATCTCAGATTAAAGAAAGTTTTAAAAATGCATTAGAAAATAGTGATGATGAAAATGAAGAAAACTGGGGTGGAATTTTTCAACAAAGAACCAAGACTAAGGATGAAATGGATAAGGATGAGAGTGACTATAAAAAATGGTTGAGTGGTGAAAAAAACAAATTAGGGGATGAAAAAGTGGAAACAGATTTAAAGCCTCTTAAAGACTATTGGAACAATCCGAATTTGGACCAAGGAGAGAAGTTTTTGAGGGATTATATTTTAAACAAGAAGTAACATTTGTATTTATCAATTTTGTTGTAATATTTTAAAATAAATGTTTTAGGTATTTAGATAATGATGATATTGATTATATTCCGACTTATGAAGAGGTTATTCATGATTCAGATGAAGATTTGTCTAATGATGAAGAACATGTAGATAAACAAGAAGAATTTGAGCATAAATATAATTTTCGTTATGAAGAACCTGATCAAGAATTTGTATGAAATTAATTATTTTTTTTTGTAATATTCAATTTTGACTTAATTTTTTTTAGATTAAGAGGTACCCAAGAACAATGGAAAATTCGTTAAGGAAAACAGATGACAGAAGGAAATTAAAAAGGCAGGAAGTTAAAGAGAGAAAAAAACATGAAAAGGAAGAGAAAATGCAGGATATAAAGAAAATGCAAGAGTTGAAAAGGAAAGAAATAGAGGAAAAGCTGGAAAAACTCAAGGAAATCACTGGAAATGAAAGCCTTGGATTTAATGTACATATTGATTTTTGCCTTAATGAAATACAAATTAATATTAAATGTAATTTTTCTTTTTTTATAATGCAGCATGTCACTCGGCATGTCAAAAAATATAAATTAGGGTTACCATCTGGGATACCAGTGGACTAATATAATTTTAATGTTAATTAGTTTGAAACTCAGAATGGAATCCAATCATGAGTTTTATTTGTCTCATTGATTAGATTGGTTTAAATTATCTTCTTAGTAAAACCTGCCCAGTTTAATCAAAATCATCAAAAGAGTGTTTTATGCTGAATTAAAAAAAAAAGAATTTGGAGCACAGGTTTATATGGAATTTCAGTCATAAAATAGGCCAGTGAAGTGCCTCCTTAAATATTGACATGCTGTTTAGGAACGGCCTGTATATTTATCTTGTACTTGTAGGATAAGGATATTGATGGTGACTTTGACCCAGAGGAGCATGATAAAAAAATGCAGGCTTTGTTTGATGACGAATTCTATCGGGCACCTGAAGATGACCAGAAACCTGAATTTCCTGATTTAGATGAAGAGCTAGAAATTGGTAAGTATATTTTTGGTCATTTTCTAGTTAAACCATTACATATTAAGAAAAATAAGCATACATATGAGTAGATACTATACTATAACACACTATAGCAAACTTTTTAAAACTTTACTTATTGATGTGCCATGGACATACCAGATTTTAATAAATGTATTTTTAAGTCGTAAAACTTTTTTTTTTTCTATTTTAACAATACAATTTTAACACCTAACAAAATCACAGACACTCAATCAATTAATACTAGTTGACACAAAGTGTAACTATTAAAATCACCTGATGATGATATACTACTTAAATAAGCAGCCACCACCTTTGGAGTCCAATTAAAATGCCTTTAAATTGGAGTCTAGCTCTCTCGATTTTATTTTCGAGCGCTGACTGTCCTCTCTTGTTATTTCTATTCTTTGTACCTACCTCGTATTTTAGAGTATTAGTTTGCTTTTCCAATAAAAGATTCCCATAAATCGTATTCTGCTATTACTGAAGTTATTTTAACATGTTTAATCATTAATAGTCATTGTAAATGTAAAATGTTGTAACTGAGAGCAAAATGATAATTTGGCATTTCTTACAAATTTTATATCACTAGTCAACTCGCATTTTTCTATTATTTTTAAGATTGTATTCACAGAGGCGGACCAAGGAGTTTGTTTTGCGGATTGGGTTTTCGAAAATTGATCTGCATATTATAGACTTCAAAATGATATTTTTAGTAACCTTCATGGCCTTATTATTTTTCATAAATGAAAACATTTTGGGGATAAATTTCCCCCATTCTCCACCTAGAATCCGCCCTTGGTATTCATATTAAGCATAACATAATAATTACAAAAAATAATAATTTAGATACATACCAGTAAACTACTTTTTTATGATCTGCAAACAATTTATGTTAAAAATAACCTAACCATTTACGTTAAAATTAATAATGAATGGTTTATTTTAATTTCGATCCCTGATGTCACTATCAGCCATAACTACCTCTTATTTCGCAGAAAGGACAAGGCAAAGTTTAAAGAACACTGTTGTCAACTTAGCAAAATTTCCTTTCTCCTGAATATATTTTTTAGGACTAACAAACAAAATTCAATTAAATTAGGTCGCTTATTACGCACCCTGCGCCCCTATTCGCTCTCCTATTCAGGGGCGGATGGGCAGGCTTGCTTCGAGATCGGAACGACCAGTACAGCTCTGTAATCTTCGTGCGGAACGCCTTAATTTTAATAATTCAGTCAGAAATTTTGACGGGACTGCAACTTACAATTTTCCGGGCCGGATTCCCCATCCGCCTACCTGTGTACCAGATTTATTATTAATTTCTATATTAATTTTTCTAGTAATTTTCTTATTAATGTCTATTAGTTTCTTTATTCATTTCTTTATTCATTTCTTTATTCATTTCTTTATTCATTTCTTTATTCATTTCTTTATTCATTTCTTTATTCATTTCTTTATTCATTTCTTTATTCATTTCTTTATTCATTTCTTTATTCATTTCTTTATTTATTTCTCTATTAATTTCTCTGTTAATTTCCTTATTAATGTATCTATTAATTTCTAGATTAATTTCTCTTTTAATTTGTCTAATACTTTTTCTAATAATTTCTTTATTAAACATTTCAATATCACTTAAATATCTAAACGTTTTACATATTTTACATAAAAACTTAAAATAGCGAATATGTGTTAAATCAAAAAATGCTTTTATTCAAGACAACTGTGAAAGATATACTATGTCTATTAATTTCTCTAGTAATTTATTTATTACTTTCTTATTAATTTCTGTATTAGTTTCTCTATTAATTTCTATATTAATTTTTCTAGTAATTTTCTTATTAATGTCTATTAGTTTCTTTATTCATTTCTTTATTCATTTCTTTATTCATTTCTTTATTCATTTCTTTATTCATTTCTTTATTCATTTCTTTATTCATTTCTTTATTCATTTCTTTATTTATTTCTCTATTAATTTCTCTGTTAATTTCCTTATTAATGTATCTATTAATTTCTAGATTAATTTCTCTTTTAATTTGTCTAATACTTTTTCTAATAATTTCTTTATTAAACATTTCAATATCACTTAAATATCTAAACGTTTTACATATTTTACATAAAAACTTAAAATAGCGAATATGTGTTAAATCAAAAAATGCTTTTATTCAAGACAACTGTGAAAGATATACTATGTCTATTAATTTCTCTAGTAATTTATTTATTACTTTCTTATTAATTTCTGTATTAGTTTCTCTATTAATTTCTATATTAATTTTTCTAATAATTTCTCTAATAATTTCTCTAATAATTTCTCTAATAATTTCTCTAATAATTTCTCTAATAATTTCTCTAATAATTTCTCTAATAATTTCTCTAATAATTTCTCTAATAATTTCTCTAATAATTTCTCTAATAATTTCTCTAATAATTTTTCTAATAATTTCTCTAATAATTTCTCTAATAATTTCTCTAATAATTTCTCTAATAATTTCTCTAATAATTTCTCTAATAATTTCTCTAATAATTTCTCTAATAATTTCTCTAATAATTTCTCTAATAATTTCTCTAATAATTTCTCTAATAATTTCTCTAATAATTTCTCTAATAATTTCTCTAATAATTTCTCTATTATTCTCTGTTAGATCAAAAAATGCTTTTATTTCAGAAAACTGGGAAAGGTATACTATGTCTATTAATTTCTTTATAACTTTTTATTAATTTCTCTATTAATTTCTTTAATAATTTCTCTATTAATTTATTCGTCAATTGTTCTATTAATGCATGTATTAATTTTTCTATTCATTTCTTCAATAATTTTTCTATTAATGTCTATTAATTTCTGTATTAATTTCTCTATTATTTCTCTATTAATTTCTCTATTAATTTCTCTATTAATTTCTTTATTAATTTCTCTATTAATTTTTCTATTAATTTCTCTAGTAATTTTCTTATTAATGTCTATTAGTTTCTTTATTCATTTCTTTATTTATTTCTCTATTAATTTCTCTGTTAATTTCCTTATTAATGTATCTATTAATTTCTTTATTCATTTCTTTAATAATGTTCAATAATTTCTAGATTAATTTGTCTAATACTTTTTCTAATAATTTCTTTATTAAACATTTCAATAGCACTTAAATATCTAAACGTTTTACATAAAAACTTAAAATAGCGAATATGTGTTAATTCAAAAAATGCTTTTATTCAAGAAAACTGAAAGATATACTATGTCTATTAATTTCTCTAGTATTTTATTTATTAATTTCTGTATTAGTTTCTCTGTTAATTTCTCTAATAACTTCTCTAATAATTTCTCTAATAATTTCTCTAATAATTTCTCTAATAATTTCTCTAATACTTTCTCTATTGATTTCTCTGTTAATTTCTCTATTAATTTCTATATTAATTTCTGTATTAATTTCTCTATTAATTTTTCTATTAATTTCTCTATTAATTTCTATATTAATTTCTGTATTAATTTCTCTATTAATTTTTCTATTAATTTCTCTATTAATATATCTAATAATTTTCCGATTAATTTGTTTAATTCTTTCTCTATTAATATATCTAATAATTTCTAAACGTTTTACATAAAAACTTAAAATCGTGAAAGGCTATAATATAATAATATTACTTGTAAATTGGGAAAGGTATACTATGTCTATAAATTTCTTTAATAATTTCTCTATTAATTTATCCGTTAATTGTTCTATTATTGTATGTATTAATTTCTCGATTAATTTTTCTATTCATTTCTCCAATAATTTTTCTATTAATGTATTAATTTCTCTATTAATTTCTCTATTAATTTCTCTATTAATTTCTCTATTAATTTCTCTATTAATTTCTCTATTAATTTCTCTATTAATTTCTCTATTAATTTCTCTATTAATTTCTCTATTAATTTCTCTATTAATTTCTCTAGTAATTTCTCTATTAATTTATCTATTAATTTCTCTATTAATTTCTCTATTAATTTCTCTATTAATTTCTCTATTAATTTCTCTATTAATTTCTCTTTTATATTCTCTATTAATTTCTTTTTTAATTTCTCTATTAATTTTTCTAGTAATGTATCTATTAATATCTTTTAAACATTTCAATAGCACTTAAACCTTTAATAACATAAAAACTAAAAATAGCGAAAGGCTATATTTTTGTATGTTAGATCAACAAATACTTTTATTTCAGAAAACTGGGAGAGGTATACTGGAGAAGGTGAAGACTATGAACCTAATTGTGAAGATGATGATTTTAATGTAATGTATTACTTTTATTTACAATTTTATAATTTCCCATTAATTTTCTTCTAGCATATACTTCGTATATTATTAATATTAATAATCTAATTTAGCCCAATTTCGATGCATTTAGCAACTATTGTATGGATAAAAATTAAGTTTTGTATAAAAGTGCTTTTCATTGAAACGCTCCCTATAAATTTTATTGTTATTTTCAGATGGATTGCGATTACGACCCAAGCAAACCGAACGATAACGATGATTTTAATCTTAAAGGTCGTAAAAAACGCAAACGAAAATCAAAATTCGCGAAAGCCGTCAGCAAACCTAAACCCAAATTCGATCCGGCCGATGAAAAATTCGAAAAATATTTCGACGAATATTACAAACTCGATTGCGAAGACATAATCGGAGACACCCCCTGCCGATTCAAATACAGAAAAGTCGCACCCAATGATTTTGGATTAACAACAGAAGAGGTAAGTAGTTCCCTAGGAATGTCAGTTAGTGTATCGCCCTTTTCTCATACTGTAACTTGACAAACCGGACCCTAACCTAGTTTTCCAAATACCCTTAACCTTGGCCTAAATTTCGTGATGTTAAAACCCCCAGAATTACGTTTAGAGTTCAGTGTAGTTGTAATGGAGGAAGAACAAAGTAAACACAGAGATTAATTAGGAATACTGTTTATTTAACATCTATTCTTTTGTACAGCCAGACATTTAGATTATGTGCCGTTTTTAGGCTTAACATTATGTTTATGTAGGCTTTCCAATGTGTCATTTCTAACCTCAGAGCTTTTAGTTCCCATAAAAGGGTAAAATAAAAGTCGAAAGTACTTTGGTATATTTGTTTGTCTCCTAATATACAATCACAAATACTGAATTACGCATTGTCTAATAAAAGATAGTACAGCGGTAGCCCGAGGAGTTTTGTGAGATATAAAATAATATTTCTAATATGTGTAAAAACCGGGGTGTAGATTTACCTCACCGTGCGTCACGCCTTTCTCTAATATTCCAATGCCGTAATGTACTGACATACTCAGTTCTGTATGGAAAACACTAAACGGTCGATCGCAGAACACCTGATATAAAGGGGGATGCCCGTCAGGCCAACTTTTGGGGTATCTCAGTAGAGATCCATCCTGCCTCTATCAGGCTTTAATTTACATAGCCACAAGAGAAATACCATTTTTAGGCCCTTACTATTGAGGTACCTGGCGGTCTATGGTGGCCTAAGGCTCTTTTTCGGCGCGATGCTCTTTTGCTCTGTCGATTGACAAATCATTGTTATTAATCACAGTTCTGAGGATACGTTAGCTAGTCCACAAACACAATTTCACCTATTTATTCTAAATAAATAACAAACATACCGATTACTTCCGCGTAATGTCCCGCTAAAGATATGTGGATATGTACAAATAAATCCGACCCTCCTCAATATTTATGATTCTACCCGCCGCTGTACATATCTCCTTTTTCCCGAAAAATCGATATATAAAACTAACACTCCTTACGGCTAAAATGACACATTTGTCTACCCAATTTTGTTTTACCAAGAACGACAGAAAACATATTTTTTAACCACAATCTAACTTTAAAATATATACAAATCAAGGCTTTACCCTACTAATCTACATCTGTTTGCCATTTAAAAGTAAAATCGAAAGTGTTTCCTCTTTACTGAAAGGGACAGGTACTGTTTACAGACAACCAAAACTTTACAATTCAGCCCTTTGGCCATAAATCTAAATGACTTAATTTATTACTTGAGAGTTTTGACTGACTTTACAATAATTAATATTTATGACAACATCACTATCGCTCTAAATAGTATAATTGAGCACAATATAAAAACCCTACAATGTTTCCCACAATAAACGTTTATCAACGAATACCAAAAATATGACAATAACATACAGACGTGAATTTTCCCGCTAATGAATGTAAAAGTAATAAAGTGATACCTGTAACCCATCAATGTTAGTCTAAACTCTCCCCCGGAATATATGAATATTAAATACTAGTTTGATTACTTTAATAGTGCGATTATCGTTTTAATTCTACGTAAAAGAAACCTTACAGAAAAAAAGTATACCACTGATAAAAGTGTCTACCTGGCGCAAGTTCGTCGGGTCAGCCTTAAGGGTGACGAAATCCACTACGAACGTCGCCTAGAGTAGTACGTTTAATCATTTAGTAACATTTTATAATGTTGAATCGGAGATATAAAATGTCTGGCGTTTAACTAGACTAGCGTGGTATCACCAGTATCAGTTATGCCAATATTTTAGTCGCTCGGTAGATACAACCTTACAAAACAGTTCTAGGAGCGAAATCTGGTTCTATTCAACGTGTATCTGCTTGGTCAACCTGACTATATATATCTCCTTTTACTTATATATAAAATATAAGAAAAAGGTGGTCATCCTAAGGACAACTGGATATCTATGCAGAAGCCGTCGTTTATAGAAACGAATTTCTCTACTCCGTCGATATCTTTTTTTTCCGTTCTCAAAATATAACAAAAACGCGGCCACCGTAAGGGTAGCGATATCTCTTTTTAATTATATTTGAAGAATATAAAGAAAAAGGAGTCACCGTGGCGGTAACGTGGATATTTGCGTTTTTTGTTAACTTGACTCGGTGAAAATGAAAAAGCTAATGCCCCAGCCCACAAAAACCCTGGTATTTATACTTAAATTTCCCATTATATGCAAAGGTATCGGAAAGAGAACGACTGTGAATTCGGTGCATAAAGACTTTAAAGCTTTGTATTAATTTCTGAATATAGCCCTAACGTTTTACATCTGGTTTTTTCTAGCGGCCGTTACAGTTTACACGTCGATTTCTTTACCCAGAAGTAATTAAACGGCGCCTACGAGCCGGGAGATGTTGGGATGTTGTTTGAATTCGAAATAAAAATTTGAATATAATATGTAATATACAAGAATTATTTAAATTAATTATCAACCGCCGGTTGTCGGATTTCAATACAGATCTTATTAACGACAGTAAAATTCCAGTACCGACTCTTTCCGTACCTTTTTTTTCTTAATATCTCATGTGTCTTAATATCTACCTCTTAATATATCCTACTATCTCCTAATTTCTCTTAATATCTCACGTTTTAGATTTTACTGGCAAACGAAAGGGAACTAAATAAGTGGTGTTCTTTAAAAAAGGCTGTACAAATAAGATCAGATGACGTCGAAAGGTATGAACAACTGGCTTATAAAAAGAAAGGGCAAAATATTAATTTGAAGAAGAAAATTTTGCCTAGCCTATTTACGGAAATTCCTAAGGAACAAATTACGCAGCAAAGAACTGATAATGATACAATTAGAAAAGATAATAATGAAGAAAAACCAATAAATAAAAAAATAAAAGTCGAAACAATTACTAGCAATAAAGATTCTGAAGAGAAAACTAGTTTATCAGAAAATAATTCTGTTATTGGACAAGTTAATACAACAATAGAGAAGAAAAAACATGGTTTGTCAGAAATTCAGAGTGATTTAACAGAAAACAATAAAACTGCTCAAAACATTACTGCAAAAACCAATAAAACAAAAAAGAAGAAAAAAAAGAAAAAACCAAAAGCGAAGGTTGCAGAAAATTCTGTTGGTACAGTTAATAAAATTGAAGGTCAACAAAGTTTTGTTGACACAAAGAATAAGAAACGAAAAAGGAATGAAGGAGATACTGCGAATGCAAGTAAAAAAAAGAAATTTAATAAAGAAAGAGAGAAAAAATTGCCAATATCTGATGCTAGACTCTCAGCTTATGGAATTAATCCTAAGAAGTTTAAAAATAAACTTAAGTATAAGAAAGTGGAGTAAAATTATTAAGATTGTTTTTAATAATTGTTTTATTGTATATAAGAATAAATAAAATATTAAATTTATGCTGTTATTATGCCTTAACAGGATTCGAACCTGTGATATCTAACTTTCCGTGCTTAACCACTCGATCATCTGCACCTTGAAACTGGGAGATTAATTTGATATTCCAACCTCATCATGTACTCGCTTCGGCGGTACATATACTAAAATTGGAACGATACAGAGAAGATTAGCATGGCCCCTGCGCAAGGATGACACGCAAAATCGTGAAGCGTTCCACATTTTAAAAAAAAAAAAATTAAAAAAAAAACATGTAAATAAAAAACACATACAAAGAAAACATGTAAATAAAAAACACATACAAAAAAAACATCTAAATAAAAAAAAAAAAACAAGTAAATAAAAAAAATAATAATTACACACAGTTATACTAACCACTTAAACCAACCATTGTATCCAATTGAACAAAATCGGTACAAGTTATCACGTAAATAAATACATTTTAAGTAAAAAAAAGTCTGGCTAATTGGTCTCTGCCTAAGCCAAAAAAAAAAAAAACCTCATCATCTTTTGGGAACGTCACGCAAATTCAAGCACTAATATCCCGTTCATTTGCTAATACAGGGTGTTAAAAAAAAAGTGTCACAAAATAAAACGGGGGTAGTATGGGCCAAAATATGCAGAAAAGTCTTAATAAACATATGTCCGCAAATGAATAGTTTCAGAGATACGGAGTGTTTTGTATCATTTTTTGATTCTTTTTTCATTCTCAAAAACTTGCTTTTCTTATCGGAGTCTACCGATGTTTTTTCATAGATACTATTTGCAGTTATTATTTTGTTGTGGGTGAATAATTTTATAAATTTTCGTTTTGGCTGTTTACACTAATATTGAATTAGCTGACATGCATTTTATGTACGGTCGTGCAAATGGCAATGCGAGGGAAGCGCTACGTCAGTATTTGAACATCTCATTTAACTCTATGTTGTTATTGATTGTTTATAAATATCATTGTTTTTTTATAATAATAAAAAATTGTTATAAACACAAAATGGTCCGTATCTCCGAAACCGTTAATTTGCGGTCATATATTTATTAAGACTTTTCTGCTTATTTTGGGTCATACTATTCACCATTTCATTTTGTGACACTTTTTTTTTAACACCCTGTATACAGAAGAAAACCTAACAAAGCTATTATCAGAAATTGCGTTAACATCTTAGACGAATGCTCGGATGTATAACCCATCAATTTTTTTTTATCAGAGGACATATCTTTTTATCATATAAACAGAGATGGAGCGGAATGCGGTTCTCAAAAAATCGCAACAATTTTTTGCTTTTTTGAAGATCATGTAACACATTTGGTTTGAACTTAGATTATAAAATAGAACTATTTAGTGAATTCAGGGCTACGCTACAATTTAACACCAGAATTAATGCGAGAAATTGATTTTTTTCCTTTATTTAATGATAGAGTTTTGTAAAAAAATAAGAGACATAATTTAAACCTTAGAAGTTAAAATTAGTTGTGGAAGTCTTATGACTAGTAATTACACAAGTTGCACCATGCATTTCATTTGAATTTGATGTTAAAAAATCTATATTAGGTACAGATTTAGTTTTATTTTCAATTTATTTATTTTTTTAATTATACTAATTGCTAGCATAAAATACAAAATTAAAAGGAGTTAAAGGTAAAATTACTTTCTTTGAAGTCTGATAACCAGGCGACCATCTTAGATGGACTTTATGTTTAATCAAACAGCAACATATAAAATGGTTATCTCTATTATTGGGCTTTATGGTCATGGTATGACTTGGCATTGGCGTAGCGAAATATTTATCAAAGGGTAGGATGATTAGAAAAGCACTGCTTTGAAAAATCGAAGCCATTTTGTCAGAAATAGTCGGAACCCATCTCTATCCAACTGTCATACGTCAGTCTCTCTCTCTCTCTCTCTGACGAATATAATTTAAAGAAGGAAAGTATCAAGTATAATACATCCACGAAACATCATTGAAAAGGTAATTTTGTGGAAAATTCAGCAATATGACTACAGTTTAAGGCTTTTGATTTCAGCGCACTCTAGCGAGAAATAAATTGTTACGTATTGTAAAGTGTGACATTTGAAAGCTAATTTTATTAGTAATTCAATGCATAACATCAATTTGTTATTTTAGTTGATTGACATTATAGTTTGTATCTTTTAACATTGAAGCTCTGCAAGATTTTTCAGTTATTTAAGTTTATGTTTCAATCAATTATTTTTTGTTGTTGTGCATTAACTTATCGATAAAATCAGCTTTCAAATGAAGTATGACATTTATGTAACATATTTTTATGCTGCTAGAGGGCGCTAAAATCAAAGGCAACTCAACGAATAGTCATAATGATGAAATGTCCATAATAGTAGTTTGTGCAACAAGAGTGGATATGATGACCATATCGCACGAAGACGAAATTTGAGCACGACGCCGTAGGCGGAGTACCCAATCGTCTAAGTGCGATGTGGACAATCCACTCGAGTTGTACAGAATATTTTTTCTGCGACCCACTAACGAAAATTTACAAATAAAAAAAATATTTTAGGTTATTAAGACAAAATAATTAATTTTAAAATAATTTATTACTTTTAACCACAAGACCATCTATTCTTTTATTTTTGTTGCTTTAATGCCTGTAATTAAATTGACCTCATATAGTTGTATTTAAATTAACAAATTATTTATAATTATAAACGAAATAAAAACAGAAATGCTAATATTTATCGATTCTACATAAGACAATTAGTTTGACAGAATTGTCACTTATTAAAATTTTAAAAATAATAGCAGTCGGAGGGGGTGGGTTGGCTCAGTGGTTAGAGTCATGACTTTGAAATCGGAAGATCTCAGGTTCGAATCCCACCGTTGGCCGGGATTTTTTGATTTCATTTAATTATTTAAAATTAATTCTGATGCCTTGGTAGGATTCCCCACTCGACCATTCACTGTTGGGTTCTAATTAACAGTGCTGTTCCTAAAGTGGCGCTGGGAAACAGTAACAAAGCCTACGCAGAACACGAGGCTAATGGGCGTAGTAGTCGACGCCGATGACACCAAATAAAAAAAAAATAGCAGTCGGTTGATCAAAATATGAACGGTGATTGGTGGATTTCATTTTTTGCAGTGTTCTCACTACCTAGAATGGATATGAAATATATTTGTTCAGTTGAAGGCAATAGCATATTTGGAGGATGACACCCCCTACTGAGGGGATGAAGGTTTTACTATGCTTTTTGCGTAAAAGGTGTCCTCTTGACAAACAAACTTGACGTGTTTTTGGTTTTCGCCGAAAAGTTCTTTTCCACCCTGTAATGCCTTGCAGTACGTTTTCGATGGGCTACCCTGTATAAGAAGGATTAAAATTAATGTTCGATGCGTTATTATAGTCCTTCATAAAAAATTTCACATAACTAAGTTGTTTATACTGATATTGTTTTTCAAAATGATTTATTAAAGTAGACACTTCTTTGATCCATTAGCATCAACGTTTATGAACTGTCCAGCTTCATCTTTATGCTTATTTAAATGACACTTAAAGTGGTGTTTGTGGGTAAAATGATTGTCACAATAATTACAACTAGATGAATCTTTTTTTTTATTCCTTATATTTTCTCAAGGTTTTGGTTTTATCTATTCAGAACTTTTTTACGTGTTTTATTAAATAAGAGATATCTGAAAAGGTTAACGTTTGCAAGCATCTTTCTCTTATTTTCCATCGAAATGTTTCACAATGCAATAAAAGTAATCAAATAAAGCAACAAAATTATTATGCAATATAATAATCTTGAAAATTTTGAACTCTCCAGCAAAGTTTGAGCCAATGCTTCCAGGACGATCGATAATACTTTCTGCATTACCGCTTGTGACGAACAAAAGGGAATTGACGTATTGATGCTTTGATAGAAATATGTCATACTTTGTCTAAAATTTGACACAGTTCTGATCATAGATATGATGTCTATGGTTCTCATACGTTTTCATCTGGCCACCTTGTATCACCTTAAGACCGAATTTGCACGTCATATATTCATAACTAAAACTATTAATTAAGTTTGCGATAGATGGCTATTAGATGCACTTCTGCGTAATAATTCAAATGTTCAATATTCTTAGGAAACGCTGCTTGGTTGCCAGATTTTGTATGTCAAATTTTTATTTTACGGGTTTGCCAACGAGCATGGTTCTGGGCCGTATTTAAATAACTTTATGGACAATGTTTTTATCGAAACTACTGATTTGGTTTTTATGTTAAGTGGTGGTATAACTTTTATAATGGAATCCCTTATTTCTTTTAAACATGGCACAATATTAGTGATGTAAAAATTTGGTATGTTTCTTCCATGGGCGCCACCAGCAAGAGGCAAAGTCTGGCAAGGTCTTCGCACTTTCTTTATGGACAAATGGTACTGGGTTGAAATTTAATTTTTAAATAAAGACGTCCTCGAAGCTGACTCCATCTTTTGACTAGTTTTTGATATACAGCGGGTTAAAGTAGAATATTATAAAAGCAAATTCGCATAGATTTATTGCTTGTTAAGTCCGTCTTGCATGTTGAAAAATTCTCCTATGCTAATACATTTGCTAACTCCGACTTAAGATCACATTTTCATGATTTAATCTTTTATTGGCATTCTGTTGGGGATATTAAATAAAAACACGTATTTACATACATAGTAGGTACATATAATAAATACTTTTTAAATCTTAAAGTAAAAAATATAAACATTTTACAAAATATAAATTACACAGAAGTTTCATCATCTGCGGAAGGTAAGATAGATAGAGATGTAGGCCTAGAATCGATACGTTCTGATACGCTAAGTATTTCATCTTCGGGAGTATAATGGGCATGGAGATTTCGGTTTCTTTCTATATGCCTTCGTTGTGGAGTACGATTTGGTGATGATTTCCTACTTGTGTTGTAAGATTTCAATAGTTTAGCCCTAAAAAAATGTATTATTATATTATATCAATCAACCTTATATGAGGAACCAGCAGTATAAATGTGTGTAAAGGTCACTTATGTGATTCCAAAAACCACTATAGAGATATGCTATAAATATATAAATAGGAAACAGAAGGTTAAGGTAAGTAATTGTTTTTCAGATACTATAGAGAATAATATGGGATTGCCACAGGGTAGTCTTCTGGGTCCTTTACTGTTTTTAAATTATATTAATGACATTGCTGGTGTAGTCGAAAGATGCTCAATACATTTATTTGCAGATGATACACTGATATAATTTACCCATGAAACACTGAAACTTGTTTTAAAGAAATTAATAGTTCTATAAGTAAAATATATGATTATTGTAACGGAAACTCGTTGAAAATAAATTACGAAAAGACAAAGTGGATGTTAATTGGGGGTATTGGAATTTAAAAAAATTAAATGTAGCATCGCAGTGTGTTTCTCTTGATGGAATAAAGTTTCAGAGAGTAGGAATATTTATATATCTAGGGATTATGGTCGATACAAATTTACAATTTAAGGAACAAGATAATAACGTCATCTAAAGCATATTATTTAAAATAAACTATTTGAGGCGATGTTCTCCACATCTTAGCAAATGGGCTAAAATAATAATTTATAATTTACTAATATTACCTCATTTTAATTATTGTGCCACTATATTGTATTTGCTCAACCAGAAGGAGTAGCAGAATAGAGGTAAGAAGATAATACTGAGCTGTTCAAGATTGGAACCAATCAATTCCATTTTAAATGTTCTTCAGTGGTTGCCTGTTAAAAAATATTTGCTGTTCTATTCCCATTTATATTTAAGATTAAATCAGAAATCTCCCCAGTATATTTACAAAATATTTTAAGTTATAATCGGGATGTTCATGAACACAATACACGAAATAAGAAAAATTTTACAGTTTATGAGGCCGCGAAAAAATGTACACAAAATTCAGTGTTTTTTAAAGGTGTACAGGCTTTTAATAATTTGCCTGAAGATATTAAACGTTCTTTAAACGCAGCAATATTTAAAAGAAAACTGCGTGAGTACTTGCTGACAAATTGGAGTTTTTTTTTCTTATGTTTTGTATAGTAGACATGCACGTGTACACTTATGCAATTTTATTGTATTTAAATGTATGTTGATTCTATACTTATATATTTTTTATTTTATTTTAAATGTGAAGATGTATTGACGTAAAAAATGAGTTTTTTTTTTTGACTAAATAAACGATTTATTTATAAATTGGATAAACAGTTACTTGCAAAACATAATTCAATATTTAAAAATATCGGAAGCAATTTCAGTTTCATCAGGTGTACCACAGAGATCTTATTTGGACCCGTTGCTATCCAATTTATTTATTAATGATCTCTCTAGTATTTCTAGCAGTAAATATCTCACGTTTGATGATGATGATGTAAAGATATTTAGAGCAGGTTCCAATAAAACTAATTAGGTGCTGTTACTGCAAGAGGATTTAAGGTTTAAGTGGACCTATGGAAAAGTTAACTACAAATTCAAAAATTTTCAAAAAATTCATAAGTATATATGAGATCTTCGCTAGTATCTTCCCAAATTTTAATCAAAATCGCTCGAGTAGTTTTTGAGAAAAAAATAAATAAAAACTGTTTTTTCCACATATAAAACTACAAAACTGTTCGAACGATTTCAACTATATTTTGTAAAATGATTTATTTTGGTAAAATGATTTATTTTGCTAAAATAAACATGTGCAATTTATTTTGAATTTTTTTAATTTTACAGTTTTGGCACAAAAAAAAATATTTTGATACACGCATAAATCATTTATTCATATGTATTTTTTATAAATTGAATATAATTAGAATGATAAACTTATAAGCCTTTAACAAAAAAATTGTATTACTGAATTGAGCGTGTTTAAAAATAAATAAATAAAATCATAACATGATTTACAATTTCCACGTTAGATTTAAAGCTCTGGAAGGTGCTGTCTCTACAATAATATACAAAACGTTTAAAAACATTTTGTCAAATTAAACACAGGTAGCGCAATTGTTGGTAAAGTCTTTGCACAACGTTGCCGGTTTGCCGTCTTATAATTTTAAGAAGTTTATAACATCTGGATAATGGAAGAGTGAAATTGAAAAATAATTAGGTGTTCTTTTTTTAACAATTCTGGACAATGCATTAAGTGGTGTTGCTACAAAATTAAAAGGGGTAGCGTCGATTAAAATTTACTAATAGTAGATTTTAAAATTTTTGTAGATGTCGATGTGTATTTTAAATAAATAATAATACCTATAATAAAAATTCCAAGTTTTGTTTTTTTATTTCGACATGCAGTAAAATTGGTTACAAACCTAAATCGCTTGATTGTTTTAGGCGGTACCCTGCGCATTTAATATAATTGCAACATCATTATATTCCCTAATAAACCAAATGTCAGAAACTTCATATTTACAGTTTTAGTTTTTCTATGTATTTACATAAAATATGTCAGTTTGAAACTAAAATTAATTCATACAATTCTGTATTATATTTTTATTTCTGAAACGTTTGTAAGTATTTAACATGAATCCTGGATTTGTGAAAGCAGATTCAGCTAATTTAAAAAAAAAACAAGACTTGACAAAACAAAAATACAAACCAGTGAAGTAATTTACGCATTACGAGAAGAAAATAGAAATTATTTAAAAATATTTGGCACAACAAAGCACATAGAGGTTGCACGTGAATGACTAAGGTCAAAACCGACATCTGACATTTCTTATGCTATTGACTCCAAACCCTAGATGGGGCTACTCCATTTTTAATTTTTATGGGTGAAAAACAACCAAAGAATCCAAAGATGTGACGTGTATTTATGTTTTTGATTATTCTCATTTTTACGTCTGATTTTAGTTATTTTTTGTTGGCTTTGGCTTTTGGTTTCTGTTTATAGTTTCTTCTTAGTTATTTGCAAAATTGTTATGTTTTGTTTTTCTATTTCCTACTATGTTTTGCAATCAATTTGGTGTTACGTTGAAAACTTCGAGAAAAACTTCATTGATTTATCATGCATCATAAAAAGACAAACGGGTACAACTAATTGATAATCAATTTATCACTGGACTATATTCTGAAATCATTTTTCACATAAGAGAGTATGCCATCTGTATTTGAAACGAAAATATCAGTGAATGAATAGTTAACAGGATTCACCTTTTAATCCAATACCTATATTACATTTATCCTCAGGTAAAAAGACATTTATAAAATATAACTTTAGTGTTAATAAAATGTAATATCCTAGTCTCTACTTCACATTTAAATATATTGATATTTTAAAGATTTGAGATTTTATACCTATTTGCTCCAAGTAAGTACTCGTTAAATATGTATTATTAATAACATATTTATCATTTATTGATATTGTGACGAAAGTCTAATTTTTAGTTTATTTATTTAAAAACACACTATTTAGAATTTATTTCAGACGTACTATTTACAATTTATTTCAGACGTACTATTTAATTTATATAAAGCTTAGACACTAACTAACAATTCTAATTTATTTCTTACACTATAACTTTTCATTACAATGTTCTTTATTCACTATCTATAATCAACTGAACTGGGCGCCGATACGTCGGCTATTTATATTAATCCAACTCCGCTACTGGAAGATACGAGAGGCTCTCGAACATTCCATTTGTATGACTAAACGGCACTCCCCGCCGTTCCAGCTGTTTCTAGTACATCAGCGGCAGGCATTCCGTCGTATTCTTGTAAATTCGAGACGCGGGCTGGCTGTTTCCACACGTCAGCGTTGCTTCGATCATGAGTCGGTTGCCATGTGAAGGTTGCGTGCGTATACAGGGTCGGATTAGGAATTTCATGACATTGCCCCTCCTTAAGAAATAGTTCCTCCTGGAACTAAAACTGAATGGTTATATTTGCAGGGACAGTCTTCGTTATAACCTGAACGTTGTGAGAATGGCTGCAGACCAGTATTTCAACCTGGGTATCTTGAAAGATTACTTCCACCATGTTTCTAATGGTCCTCCAATTCAGCTGATTGCTCTCTATCTTTGGCATAGCTAGTTTCTGTATATTGGACTCCAGTACATGCTCCCTCAGACTGAGTAATGCTTCCCATACATCCTGATAGGTGGATCGATCTCGGAAGGTGTTCTTTGTTACCAAATAGAAAAGATAACGCGATCCATCTAGAAGTATTAATGCTTTTCCAGGGGCTGATAACTGATCTTGAAGTTCTGGCAATCGACCAAACTTCTTCCGGAATATAGATGCCAGACCTCGAGCGTCGTAGATGTTGGCGGAAGTGCTATGGACCAGCGAATAGTCTTTTGGAACCGTGAGCAGGTCTTGTTGTTGCTCGGTTGTAACACCATGTCTTGCTTTTCCGGTACCTCCATATGCACCCATAAATTCTTCAAAGACAAGGTTAGGTGTTTCTTGGAGCTGGTTTACTTCTTCCTCTTCATGGTCATCCTTAAATGGCGCCAGCCGGTTTTGGTGCACTACCCTTGGTTTACCATTCGGGATCTTATACGGTAAATGCCATCATTGATTCTTTTCTTGATGAGATACGGACCTTCCCAAGACCTTTGAAGCTTCGGAGAATAACCCTTTTGTCTTTTTGGGTTATGGAGCCAGACTTTGTCGCCTTCCTTGAAACCTCCCTCCATGGCTTGGGTATCATATCGCCTCTTCATTCTGTCGCTGGCGATTTGAAGATGCGAGCGGACCAATTCATACATATCGTCCATTCTTCTTTGTAACTGGATCACATAATCTTCACCAGCTACATCTTCTACAGGTCGGCATCCAAACTCAAGGTCGCACGGTAGTCTCATCTCACGCCCAAACAGGACCTTTGTTGGTGTTTGGTCTGTTGATTCATTGACAGTGGATCTATAAGCCATTGCAAAGAGCGAAAGATACTGATCCCAATCTCGCTGATGGTTTGAAACCACTTTTGACAGATATTTTCCAATGGTCTTATTCATTCGCTCTACCATTCCATCAGATTGTGGGTGCAATGCTGTGGTCGGGTTTTCTTCAGGCCTAGTCTGTCACAGATTCCACGGAAGAGTTGGCTTTCAAAATTTCTGCCTTGGTTACTATGGATCTCCAAGGGAACTCCAAATCGACAGATAAACTCTTTAATCAACACATCTGCAACAGTTGCGGCCTCTTGATTTGGAATGGCGTAGACTTCCACCCACTTCGTGAAGTAATCCATAACCACCATCATATATTTATTACCATTCTCGGTCATGGGGAATGGTCCAGCAATATCTAAGGCGATTCTCTCAAATGGGCTACCAACGTTGTATTGCTTCATGGGAGCCTTCCTTTTTCGCTAAGGTCCATTACTCATAGCACAGCTGGTACATTTCTTACACCAGTCCTGTACATCATCGGAACTATTCATCCAATAAAACCTTTCCCGAACTCTCTGAAGGGTTTTCCTAACACCGAGATGTCCTCCTGATGGACTGTCGTGTAACTGACGAAGTACTCCCGACGTAGCTCGGTCACTTTTAAATCACACAGTCTTTTAGCCATTATTGTCCAATATTTATTTATAGTTCCACTTCTAACACCAATGTGACGAAAGTCTAATTTATTTTTAGTTTATTTATTTAAAAACACTATTTACAATTTATTTCAGACTATTTAATTTATATAATGCTTAGACACTAACTAAAAATTCTAATTTATTTCTTACACTTTAACTTTTCATTACAATGTTCTTTATTCAACTGTCTATAATCAACTGAACTGGGCGCCGATACGTCGGCTATTTATATTAATCCAACTCCGCTACTGGAAGATACGAGAGGCTCTCGAACATTCCATTTGTATGACTTTTCCAAGGCCTTTGATCGCCTCGATTATAGTATACTTTTGAACAAGCTTTCCATTGTTGGACTCACTACGTCTTTTCTGCGTTTCTTTGAATCATATTTAAGTAATCGTAAATTGAAAGTTGAATACCATGGTTTTCAGTCAATTTGTATAAAAGCTTCTTCCGGTGTCCCTCAAGGTTCAGTTCTAGGACCACTTTTATTTTCCATTTTTGTAAATGACATTACTGAAAACCTATCATGTAATACTCTACTCTATGCCGATGATTTCAAATTGTTTAAATCAATCTCTAGTATTGATGACTGTTTGATTATGCAGGAGAACCTAAATAAATTGAACCTTTGGTGTAATTCTAACAACTTACCACTAAACATATCTAAGTGCAATTCTATCAGCTTCACTCGCAAACTAAATCCGATTGAGTATAATTTCACTGTCAACAATATTACCATCAATAAATGTCTTTCTTTTAGAGATCTTGGTGTTCTTTTCGACGCTAAGTTAAATTTTATTGAACATGTCAATACTATTCAAAAAGAAGCATACAGAAATTTGGGTTTTGTCATTCGAAATGGACGCCAGTTCTCTGAGCCTAACACTTTAAAAACTATTTTTAACGCTTTTGTACGTAGTAAGCTAGAATATGCGTCCATTGTTTGGAGTCCTGGATATGAAGTATATAGCCAAGCATTAGAAAAAATTCAGCGAAAATTTGTCAAATATTTGTGGTGCAAGCTAGATGGCGTCTACCCTACTCGCAATATTCCGCAAACCATCTTGCTGAATAGATTTGATATCCTTGAATTACGTACTCGTAGGAAATGTTATTCTATCTGCATTCTTTACAAATTATTAAATTTTAAAATTGACTGTCCCGAACTACTTCGTCAACTAATGTTTAATGTTCCTAGTATCAGAACTCGCTCCCCTTTTTATTTCTATTTTCAAACACCCAGGACAAATATTTTAAAATTTTCTCCAATGTATTTTATGTATCAAAATTTTTGTGAACTTCAAAATGATGTTGATTTATTTTCTATTCAATTAAAGAAATAAAACGCTTAATTGTGGACTGAGTTAATTATCATAAGACGACGTAATTTTTTCTCCTAACGGAGTTTTTTTTTGCGTTTTCTTATGATGGTTAAAAACGTTTATTAAACTATTTTTTGTTTACATATTTTTATGCTATTATTAGTATTTAATATTTTGTTATCATTTTTATGATGTAAATTATACTGTAATTGTAATTATTTTTGTGCCCATCCTGTAATTGGTTTTATACTGTTGGATGGTGTAACCCAAATAAATAAATAAATAAATGACTAAACGGCACTCCCCGCCGTTCCAGCTGTTTCTAGTACATCAGCGGCAGGCATTCCGTCGTATTCTTGTATATTCGAGACGCGGGCCGGCTGTTTCCACACGTCAGCGTTGCTTCGATCACGAGTCGGTTGCCATGTGAAGGTTGCGTGCGTACACAGGGTTGGGTTAGGAATTTCATGACAATATATCTTATATTTATTTAATGATAATATGCAAAACCAACTCTCCAAATTAGACCCATTATAACAAATTAATTCCTTAAATTTGGCATATCGACCTAAATTATTTTGTAAAATAAAAGTTTCGAACTTAGTAGTTCCATACTTTATTTTCTAAAATAATTTATGTGGAAGTAATTTAAAATTTAATTTAGAACTACTACCTATACTACTAAAAATTATAATTTGAATTTACCGTCATCAGTCAATTGTCATTTTAGTTCCTGCTCAAAACACAAGGTGGCGCTAATTTTGTTTAAAAGTCTAACATTGGCGTGGGGTCTCTAGAGTCTAGACGATACGTGCTTTATGTTTGGTACCATTGTAACGTGTAGTTGTTTTATAGGGTGAATTTAGGCGGGAAATTTGAATCAAAAATGGTTTTTTAATCCCAATTTTCCTCTAAATGCTTAATTAAAAGGATAAATCAATTTTTTCTTGTTAAAATAAACACGACGTAAGTAAGATTGCAAATTCCGATGAGTTGTTATAGTCCATTATGAATTATTTCACCGCTTTAGGTATAAGAAAAATAAACAATGAAACCAGGAGTGGAAATAGAAAGTCTTAAATTTGTGATTTATATTTATTTAGTTACAGGTTGGCTTCATTTTTTGTTGTTGTTTATAATTAGAAATCATAATTTTACACAGGAAGGGCATATAAATAAGAAAGGGGGATAAATAATTTTGTATTTTATTAAAATAAATTTTTAATTTATTTGTATTAAGTTATATTGAGTTTTTGTTTTATTTTTATTAGCTTCGTAATCAGGGGGAGGAACTCAAATGGATCATTAGCAAAAAACGAAAAAATTTAACTGTAACATCCGCTAAAAACCATATGGTTGGAATGGAAATGCAAAATATATATCTTATTATTTCGAAAGTTTATTGTCGAGCTACCTGATTAGATACCTATGCTTTCTACCTTCTTGCGCTATTTCAGTGAATGATCGGAGATCGGTCCACGTTGTCAAATTTTCGCAAAATTATTTATTTCCAATTAAAGACCCTGTACATACATGCTCTTTATTATATTTATCACTTTTATAATAATACTATTTATAATAAACTAATATTGTTTTCAAATGAAAAAGTAGGATCAATAGATATCTTATGGTTAAAATAATATTTGAATTGGTTTGCAAAGGTAGGTATATATAACTATGAAAATAAGAAACACCTAGGTATTTAGGAAGAAAATATGTGGCAACGCACTTTTCTCCTTCTTTTTCAACCTGTGGATTGCATAACTATATTTAAATCAATGTGTACACCTATGTATTTATATTATCTAAATAGGATAATTTATCCAAAATCAAAAACATGCTTATTTTAGGAACTTCAAACGTAACCTAATTTTACGTGAATTTATTGTACTTTTCTTGCAGGCGTTATAGAAAAATCAACAATTTTTTAATCTTCTACCTATCTATTTGGATTGTGATAGAAATAAGGGGTTTTTAATATAAAAATTTTATATGTAGAAATTCTTTCTTATATACTTATTTTTCTAAATGTAAGACTTTTTTTGACTTTTTCTTAAGTACAGGTGGCATTTTTAATAACAAACACAAAAACTCAATGAGAAATAGTATATATAAAACAATAAATCACAAAAACACTAGGCACAGCCCAAAAACAAAAAAATGACTAGCTTCGAACGAAGCCAGCAGAGCACCTCAGTTTTTTACCAAGAACAACACCATATTTTTAGGCCCTTAAAATTATATAAAATTAAAAAAAAAAAAAAAAAATAGTATTTAAAAAATACAGGGTGCTTTGCTAGCTCGAACGAAACCAGCAGAGCATCTCAGGTTTTTATATTTTAAGAGCCTAAAAATATGGTGTTGTATTTGGGAAAAAAACAGGTGCTCTGCTAACTTCGTTTGAAGCTAGTAGAGCACCTCACCTCGATTTTTGCAAAAAAACGAGGTGAATAAAATTTTTAAATAGTGTGAAAATAACCTATAAATATTGCATAGGTTTCAATTCAAAATTCCCTGCTGTCTTCTTTGGCCTTTTTTTATTTATATATTTTTTTACTTTCTTAGTTTGTATCTTATTAAGTTTATAAATTGGTTTATATGTGTTATGAAACTTTGTTATACAACTCTGTAAAATGGGGTTTGACCCATTAATAAAGGAGCTCACATCTTTATCTCATCTATGAAAGGTGTGGAACACATCAGGTATTGTGTTTTTTGGATACATCCAAATGACCCCTGCATGCTCTATTATATTGTTTAAAAACTTACGCATCAATTAATTTTAACAGAAGTCTATTATACTGCTGATAATCTTCATCTCCAAAATGGTTGGGGTCGTGCCTGGCATGTTCATACATATCACAAAATTCATGTATCAACCTTTGTCCACTACCATTTAATGGAGCTGCTAAGGTTGTCAGAAGGTAAGCTCTTAAATTTTCACTAGGATGTCGATATAGACAGTTGTCTTGTTTTGTGATTTCTTGCTCTGAAAGAAAATATACTTCACCAATTAAAGCCAAAATTTAACAAATTATTAAAATACAAAGAGAAAATAAGAACACTAATTCAGAAATGTATTTTACCTAAAACTTTCACATCATCAACTGCCCTTAACCTATAATAATGTGCAGGAATTTGCTGTCCAGGACAAACAATATATCTTGGATCTGATTTGCTGATTAGACGCGGCTCACATTCAATTTTCTTAATTAAATCTATTCTTCTTTCGATTTCTCTTTTTAAGACCTATGAATAAAATGTATTGTAACATTAAATATTTAATTTGTCTCCAGTACCTTTGAGCTATCATGTCCTATAGGTATATGAGGCCCTCTTCTTGATCGCAGAGCAAAACGCATAATCTGCCTTTTTGCGAATATAAATAATAATAGAAAGGTAAGCACACCTAGTCCGATTATTATAACTACAGTAACACCAGACAATTCTTCTGACATATTTTTAGATTTTGTCAATCTTTCTGCAACAGTTTCCATTACACTTTGATTTTTAATTTACTTGTAGATAGGCATATTTTGATTAAAAACTTTTTCTAGCGCCAATGTCTTTGTTGATCAAATTTATCAACCAACAATAACCATCTTCCATTTTTGTTTATTAATAAAATAATTAAAATTACCTAACCTAGTTTTTCTTCTATACCTGTTGTATATCAAACAGAACCATAGACATGAAGAGGGGAGATAGGAAAATGGCTGCCCGGGTGGCAAGCAAAAACGTTTACGATAGCGTAAATGCGGGGGAGGATTTGAGTCTGCGCATTAGTTAGAATATTGTGACATTTGACATTTAGTTGTCTTGTGATTGTTGTAATTTTTAGCAATTTTTGTACGATTTTTAAAGTTTTTGTGAGTTTTGGAAAGTTATTTTGATCCCTAAAGACGTCCTAAAGACTTCTATAAACAATGGTTAAAACATGTTTAGTTTTATTCTGTCCAAACCGATGAAATAATTCCGAAGAACTTGTCATAAGTAAGTTTTTAACACCAATACAGACCCGTATTTAACAATTATTTTTGGATGAATCAATTAGGTATTTAATTATTGTTCTAGCCCAGTATCCATACTGGGGTTCTAATAAAAACCTTGTCTAGTTATATATAATTATTCGTTTTTATTTGTCTTTTAGGTTAGAAAAAAAAGGCTTAATGTAATGGAAGCTCCTATAAAGAAAATGTATGCCAAGGAAATATTTCAAAATCGTTCAAGCATTTCTTATTTTGAATTTTAGTCAGTGATAAAACTGTGATTAAAAAGAATGCCACTCCTACTTTATTTTGGCCAAGTAATAAAAAAAAGAACATGTTCCAGAAGCTCATGAACAGAAAATGTCACCAAAGGATGCTAGGTAAGTTTTATTTCTATTTCATTTAAATATAGGTAATACCCTATATGCGTGCTAACACTATTTATAATGAAGCCTTCTTTTTTTTAGTAAACTTTTCAAACCATTTTTTAATAGAATTTTAAGCAGTTCTAATAGTGCTGGCTTTAGAAGATCTACCAAAAGAAATTATTGAAAACTAACCAAAATCATTCATTAATGTGTAAGTTACCAGATTAAATGTGTTTCATAACCAGCATGTAGTTATAAATTATATTTATTAATTTTTATCTGTTTTAGGTTAGATAAAAAGTATTGGAAGATCACACAAAGAAAATTTTAAAATATGTTCGAAGCATTTTGAATTTTAGTCAGTGATAAAACTGTGATTAGAAGGAATGCTACTGCTACTTAATTTTTGCCAAGTAATCAAAAAGAGAACATGCTACAGAAGTTCATGCAAAGGAGGCTAGGTAGGTTTATTTATACTTCATTTAAACATAATGCCTATGCAGTCTATATTATACCACTGTTTTACAGAATTTTAAGCAATTTAGATAGTGGAGATGATCTCCCAATAGAAATTATTGAAAACGAAACAAAAGAATTCATTCTTATGTTTAAGTGACTTGATTGAATGTCATGTACTATTCGTTTCATATGCTTGCATTTGAATATGCACATTTTTTACCTCTGGAGCATTATTATTTGTTTGTTCACATCTACTACATCTGCGTTTGTTTATATTTTCTTTATTTAAAATGATATTTTGAGGATTGTCAAACTTGACATTTTTTGTTGTTGGATTCGTTCCATGCCAGGTTCAGTTACAGGTTTATCGATTTATCCTTTGTTTATGCTAGCCATATATGCTCATGAATATAAAAGTGATCATTTGTTTGATTTTTGTTAAGTTTTCAAATTTAGATTTTTTCTATAATATAGGTATCGCTAACCATCAGTAACTAGAGAGTAGGTATTTTAATTCAAAAAATAGTTTTAAAGTAAATAATCATAAGAAAAATTACAACGACAACTACTTTTGTTTTCATATTATAATGACTCAAAGGTCAAACACAAAAAGTATAAAACTTGTCATTGTCATTTTTACCACATGGCTAGTAGGTCTAGAGTGTTTCTTTATTACATCTACATTTAACCCTAATCTTCTGTTACGTGATAAAAATTCACATTTCATCAGATGCATCCTATATGATGATAAACAAGCACAGCTATAAGCATGCAAATTTAATAATCTTAAATCTTTCCATGTAAATATCTGGTAAATAGTGATTTTTTTTAATTGCAGAAATACAGTAAAGAAGACAGAAATGCAGATATCTAAACAAACTAAATGTGGTACAGATATCAAAAAAGACAGCAGACATATAAATGATGCAATGTTACACTCGTTCCCTTAGCAAGTTCTACCTGTGTTAAAGAAGAGAAATATGATAAGTATCAATGCTGGAACATTTTTACTGTGTCGTTAATGTTTTCAAATAGGTAGTTTTCTTAGAATTAAATGTCAATAAATGGCATGTAGTTGTTATAATTTGTACACCTGATACTCTTATCAAAATATCTACTTGTAATATGTTGTGTATGTTTTGTATTTCATATACTGCTATAGAATTTTTAAAAGGGAAAGTATACCTTATAATAAGTAGACCAATGTATATTCTAGCTCAATAAAAAAATTTATAAAGCATAATAGTTAAAAAAATGTAATACTTTTCTAATACAAGACGTATTTCTAATCAGGCAATGATCGAGAGTTCTTTCAAAAATAATATAATTAAGTTGTATGTAATTTACTTATTTATACCTTAATATTTTTATATATTTTACAATTACTTTTGACGACTGTAAACAACATATCGAAGGCAACAAGGCTAGACCTCGTAAGTCGCAAAATCAAAATTTTTCAAGAGATCAAAAAAAAAAGATTCACAAGTGCATAGAACAATCCATTTTACTCTATAATGGGACTAAAATTTAACCATATTTTGTTCAAAAATTTTAATACATACTTCATTTATACAGTAGATGGAGTGGAATCTTTTAAACGAGATTATCATAAAATATAATTTTCAGTGGCAATGTTAGTTACGAGGTCCTGCATTGTGGCTCTCGATATGTCCAAAATAAAGAAAAAAAGCCCAATTTAGATAATACAATAAATATTGTACAATTTTAAATAAAAAATCTAACCTTCTATTTTACAGTATCTATAAATTATAATAAAAAATATATATAGATCCTTAGCCAATCAGCCAGTTTTAAATTTAATACAATTCATACAAATAATTATATTTTTATATATTTTGTAATTCTATATTGTAATTGACACCCAGTTGGAAGAACACTTATATATATCTTTCAATATCTAATGATCGTATAATTTTATTAGACTGAACGTAATTTGATGTTCATATCATTAAGACAAATCACATTCTCAAACTCTGTCAAAGTTTGTCGTACCTATAAATTTTAATGAATATTGTTGCAATCGGTTGTTTGTATCTGGGTACAATATACATTTATATTAGTATGTACACATTTTTTTAAATATGTATATATTTATTTTCTGTCTTTGTCAATACGATGTATTTTTCAACAATAAAGCAATTTGAATTAGGAACCTGCGAATATCAGGCAGAGACTCCTGTCACTCGTAGCATCTAAATTTGTGTCGATGTATGTAGTGAAAAGAACGTAAGTTGGAACCATATCGATGCTTTCTGACAGTGGTCTCCCTTTGTTATCTGCATGTTCCTATTAAACTTTGTTAAACTCATTGTAAGATATACCTTCTGTGTTAAAAAGTCCGTACCTGTCTAGTATCCTAAAGATATTTTAATAATAAGTAGTTTTCTTTGAATTAAATGTTATATATTCTTTGTATTTGTTAATGTCCTGAAGATTGTATTTGAACAAAATGTTATTCAATTCTTATAATTTGTACCCCTAATACTATTATTAAAATAACTGCTTGCAATATATGTTTTTTTTCAAGGATTTTCAAATGTTAGGTAATTTTCTTTGAATTAAGTCTCATTTATTTTTTAATAACTTTTACACCTGATACTAAACTATTATTGAAATACTTGCAATGTTTGTTAAATATTTTTGTATTCTGTAGCATCTTGCAAGATTTTCAAATAAAAGAAATAGTTCAAATAAGTACCTAGTTTTGTTTTCTTCATTGGTCCCCAGCCTAAACTTAAATTTGCCTTTATTTCCAAGATTAAGTTTTGATAGGTATAATTTAATAAATATTTCACTCGTTGTCTACAATATTCGACTCGATAGTGGAAACGGTAAGCATCTGGTATTCATTTGTGATCAGGAGATAACAATGGTTGTAATTCTATAGCAAAAATGGTTTACTCTCTACAGGAAAGAATCGAAATAATTATCCTTTATGAAGAGGTTGGAAAATGCGCACGAAGGGCAGCATTTAAATGAAAGGCATCCTAATTGTAATGTAAGTCATATTTATACTCTCGATTTGGTAGCAAAATTTTTGGAAACTGGTTCGGTGAAAAATAGGAAAAGAACCGACGAGTACTAAATGAAGAAGCTCTAATTGAGGTTTTGGGAACATTTGTTACCGTGTCAACTAGCTCCATACGAATAGTAGCAGAACAGATGGGAATATCACGCGAGACTGTAAGAAGAGCACTGGAAATGCATAAATTTCATTCCTGTAAAATGCAGTTACTTCAAGAGCTCTACGAAGATGATTTTGATAAAAGAATAGAGTTTTGTAAAACCATGTCTGATCAAGTTAACGCCAACCCCAATCTTCTGCTGAATATCTGTTTCAGTGATGACATTTTATTTTATATTTTTTTCTAAATGACAATGTAATAAACACAAATGTTGGTACTGGAGCAATGAACACCAGGTATATTATTCAAGAAGGGCATACGCAATTATTGGTTCTTTATTTAATGAAGGAAACTTGCCAGGCGATCTGTCCCTTAATATGCTTGCAGAGATTATTGATCCTCTTATAAACTCAGGAGCTAGAAACAAACTGATGCAGAAGGTAATTTAGTTTTACAGGAGATGTGTTACATTTCCAGCAGGACGCTGCTACACCTCATTTTTTCTTCTCGTCTGACAGAGATTTCCAGGTCCTTTGATTAACAGAAGGGGAGCAATTGAATGGCCCCCAAGATCACCTGATTTAACTCCTTTAGAATTTTTTCTTTGGTGACACCTTAAATTCGTTGTTTATGAAACACAACCTGCTGATATTGATGATCTTAAAAGGAGAATTACACAAGCATGCCGGTCAATTTCCGGTAAAAGTTTTCCGAAATGTTAGAGAGGAGTTGGGAAACAGACTTTTTACTGTTTACAGTACAATGGACAACATTTTGAAAAGTTTTTAAAATAAATAGTGTACAAGTAGATCTTATGTGTTCTATTTTTAAAATTTCTTGTGCAAATTAAAAGTTATTTATTTTGTAAAAGTCACCTTACCAAAAAAATAAAAAGTTAAACATGTAGACTTGATATTCCTCCTGTTATTTAACTTGATAGAATAATTTTTGTTTAATAAATTAGGGTACCATTGGGAAGATAATTAAACGCCCTTTAAAATGATGTGCCTCTTGACCCCTTTTCCCATTTAAGATTTAAGGGTAACAACTACCCCTCCTAGGAGGTTGAGCCACGATGAGTGTTAAAAGTATTTATTGTAGGTGTCCTCCTTGAAAATAAAATTGACGGGTTTTTGCGATTTTTCACATTATTTAATGGAAGAAAGATATTTAATTTGGGAAGTTTTCGGTGTCACCCTGTATGTATATCACTTGTTACATAAACACTCATAAAGAAAAAAATTAATACAAAAATTTAAAGACTACTCGTTAGATGAATTTATAAATAATTTTTAATATTTCAATCAATTTTTACGTACCTATATGTGAGCATTGTATTTCGTTTATCTATGATATGATGAATGTTTTTTTGAATGCCTATGTTGTATTCAGCTAACCTTATGAAATTTAGTTATTTATTAATATAAAACTAATTTTGTAACCTGTCTCATCTCATCGGAAGATAATCTAAAGAGAATAATATAAATGTATGTATAGTTGCCCCTTAACGCCAACGCAAATAATTAGACGTCCCTGGCCGCACTAGCTATACTTAAATTATCTCAACTAATACACAATCTTGTTTAATTGTGTATTCCTCTTATTAAAAAAGTATTCGTAATTTACATTTAATTATATGTATATTTTTATTGAATTAATAAAAAAAACTGAGTACAATCCTGGAAACACTCAACTGCGCAGACTCTCCGCCTCCCCGGCAGGTTCTCCTTGTGTAAACGTTTTCTGAAATGACAGTTCCTATCTCCCCTCCTCTCATATCTATGAACAGAACACTTCTCCACAGAACACCACTTCTCTGGATATTCAGCCAATGTAAAAATTCAGTGTTGCCAATACCCAAACTTGAAATTATAGGGTGGCTGGGTACAAAAGATACGCTTGCCTTTGTAAATTAGCTTTGTATTCACATCTTTGAATTTGAGGATTTCAAATTTGTGTTGCTGCCAGGTTCGGCTTTAGGTTTGTAAGATGGGGCACTGCCGACAGAATAAATGTAGCAATGCAGATTCGTTCAGAGAGACTGCCAAAAGCCAAAAGGTTCCAAAGCAATGTGCATTTCACCAATACGAACCACTGAACTCTATACAGTTACAGTTCAGTGATACGAACCATATCGGTTCCGGTGAATCTCCGGCTCCGGGTCTGTTTTCATTGGTCAATGACATGGAGTGTGGCTTTCTCTAAAATAAGCAGCCAGCTACCAGTCAGCCACTGTTTAATAAAAGTAGAGTAAAAGACATAAGTGAAACAACTTTAGTAGTCCAAATAAAATGTCTAAACTTATTTCTAAAATAAATGGAAATCACAAAGATCCATAATTTTTCCCAGAATGTACGGAAATTATACGGAATTTCAAAGAATTAGAAAAATAAACGTTGGCAAGTCAGAATATACGAAAATCCTATAATTATACGCAAATCGGCAACACTGAAAAATGCACTTTAAGTCATCTCTAGGTATTGACCCATAAGAGAACCCGAAGCACAGAAACTATGCCCGAAGTACCAAGATTTGTTCTTGGATTTCTTAAGTTATATCTATGCTTCATTTAAACGGCGTTTGCTATAAAAATATTCCTAGTTCAGTGGTGGTGTCATGTATTATCGAAAAAGAATATTTTTAAACAAACTGCAAATTAAGGCTGTATGTCACGATACTAAATTAAGTACTAAATTTAGCACTAAATTAAGTTATTAATTTAGTACTAAATTTAGAACTAAAAATATTTTTTTTCCGTTTGCAACGATACCAATTTTTAGTACTAAATTTACTATAGGCGCACGCGCATTGACGTATTAATACGTGAAATTAGCAGAGAAATGAAATCTGTGTAAGTGAAGTAAATGGTGTTTTTATTATCAATTTGATACTATATAGTTGACTTGACAACAACCAAATACAGCATAAAAACCACGAAAAAAACACAATAAAACCTACAAAATCAAACAAGCGAACTTTATTCAAGGCGATAATGTAAAATTGTCGCTAATTAAAAATAAAAGGGTACAGAAAATACCGTCGTGTCAACTTTTTCTATGAAAAACTACTGCGCAACATTTCGGCGCACTTTTAGTACTAAATTTAGTAGAAAATAGAACAAGATCTAATTAATTAATGACTTTTTTTAGTACTAAATTTAGTACTAAATTTGCTGTTTGCAACGTGAATTTTTTTAGTACTTAAAAAATGCATTAATTTAGTTCTAAATTTAGTACTTAATTTAGTATCGTGACATACAGCCTTTAGACTAAAAGGGCCATGCTAAAAGTAATTTGAGATGTTCGGGACTCGCACTAGATAAATAACTAGAATCAAAAGAAATAATCAATGTTTGATTGGATTTGTCATTGTCATTAGTCAAATGTCAAACGTCATTGTAATAAATTGCGTTGCGTCGCCGATATGGCGTTTGTTCTAGAAACCGATTTTTAACGTTTTTGAATAAAAATGATAGTAAGTTGCGTTGTGAGTTGGTGTTAATGAAACTATAAACTATTTTAAGCAAGGTAATTTTGCTTAATTTGATTACAATGGCTGTAGGAACAAGCAAAATCGTCCAAGTGACGAATATTGCTCCACAAGCAACCAAAGATCAAATGCAGGTACTTTTCGGTTATTTGGGTAAAATAGAAGATATTCGTTTATATCCAACGATTAGGGATGTTTCATGTCCAGTAACGTCCCGTATTTGCTATATTAAATTTATAGACAGCTCTACTGTTGGCATAGCCCAACATATGACAAACACTGTCTTTATTGATAGAGCTTTGATAGTGATTCCGATTTCAAGTGGAGACATTCCTGACGAGTACTATGCTTTGGAAATGACGAAGAATGGGACTATTGTACCAGGTCTGACCCCAACGGATCCAAAATTACCCCCGCATGTTGTGAATACCCTTCATAAAACAGGTGATGAACAAGTTATAATTACTACAGATCCAAATTTAATATCAAATAATTTGCCACCGTATCCACCATTATCAGTAAGCTTTGATACAGGCAAAATTGAAGAAACCAGGAGAACCATAATTATGTTAAATTATGATTCTTCTATGAGCAATAATGACATCATAGACTTCTTCAGTTCTGCAGGAGAAGTAAAGTATTTAAGAACTTGTAAACAGGATTCTACAGGCGCCACACATATGCTTGTTGAATATAGTGACCAATCAAGCATTGTGAGTGCTTTGAAGTTAAATGGTAAAGAATTAAATGGCCAAATTGTTGAGGTACAACATGCCACCCAACCAATAGTTAAGCCTCAAGCTAAGAGCAATGAAGCAGCTCAAAAAGAAATCGAAGAAGCCATGTCTAGATTTAAGGAGGCACAAAATATGATCAATGCTTCTATTGAGCCTGTAATTGGAATGCTTACAAAGGATAAAAGGAGTTCACGTAGATCAAGATCTAGGTCAAGGGGTAGGAGGAAGAGGTCCAGATCTAGATCTAGGAGGAGGTCAAGATCTAGAAGGAGAAGATCGACATCTAGAAGAAGATCAAGGTATGTACTTTTTATTTATTATTAAAGTATAATAATCTTCTGTTGCTTAAATGACAATTACTAAAATAAATGATAATAGTGATGTAAAGTAGTAAAATTCTGTGCACTACAATAGTTTAATAGTTATAAGTTACAATAATAAATAAGTTACAATAAAGTACAATAATGGAAACCAATTATATAATAACAAGCACCTAGGTGAGAACACCTGTATCTGCTGACAAAAATATAAATTATATTTAATGAATTATAAAGGAAATAAAAAAAAACTTTTTTTTAAATAAAAAATAAAACTTGAACAATTTATGCAAGAAACAGAAAAAAAAACCGTTTAAAAAAATCCATGTATTAAGTCTGTTATTCTTGGAATATTCTGATAAACTTTGTATTATTTTGGAAAATGTCTATTTTGCTAACTTTACAGAATTTTTTATTTTTTTAATAATTTTATATGAAGAGGTAGAATAGAACTTTGTCCCTAGATAATTTACACTGTTTTTAAAAAACTCACTATTTGGTTTTGGTACTTTAATGCACATGTTCGATGCAGTTCTAGTGTTATGTCTATGTTCTAAAGGGTTTTTTTTAAAATTCATTTTTTTGTATATAACAACACACTGCGCGAATATATAAACATCTAACATTGCTAATTTTTTCATTATATACAGTTATGGTTGTACACAATCTATCTCTTTTATATATTAACTTTTAGATTTTGTTTTGAATAACATTTAACTGATTTAATGTAGTTCCATACAGGCCTCCCCATACTAAGATTCCGTAGTATAGATTCTACTAGACTGTAGTATAATTTTATTAGTAGATCCTGGTTGAGAAATTGTTTTAGAAGATAAAATTTATAAATCAGAAATCCTAAGTTTTTTGCTATATATATTATATGGCAGTCCCATTTTAAGTGCTGGTCTATAATTATACCTAAATATTGGGATGTTTCTGTTTCCTGTATGTCTAAATTTTGACATGTTAAGCTTCTAAATTGAGGTCGATCAGCCACTGTCTTTGAAAAAGCAATTGTTTTGTTAACATTCAAAGACAATTTAAAAACATCCAGCCAGTTTTTGACATGTTCCATTCCAGCTATAGCACATTTCTTGATGGCTTCCCAATCTTTATCACTGAAGACTAGCACTGTATCGTCAGCATATGATACAACTTTACCTTGAATATCAATCTGAGTTAAGCTCTTGATGTATAAATTAAATAATATAGGTCCCAGAACAGTCCCTTGAGGCACTCCGATTTGCATATTTTCAGGGTACTGTACTTGCTGCCCTTTCTTTCTGAATAAGTATACCTACTTGAATATTTACAAAATGTTGCATAATTTTTGCCATCCTATTTTAACAAATTTTTAATAATCAAATTCATCAGTATAATACTATAATCTCAACTACAATAATAAATAATCAAACCAAAACATTTTATAGGTACTAAAATATTAACTTTTAAAGGATTCATCAATTATAAGTCTACCTGAGAAAATGTAAAATTTACTTTTAAAAATTTTCCATTTTCAATAAACAATGAAATGTTGTATGAGGCTTGTAGTCCATCATCATCTTGTTTAGAAGATGGAGCAAAAAGGTTTTTTACAATTTGGCTGTTTTAAATATTGTTTTTCAGTCTTTGAAAATAGTTTAAATCTTTATTCTTCTTATCAACATATTTTTTATTTGAAGATTTCATTGAAAAAAGTTTTAGGCAAATTAAGCACATAGGCAATTACTAGTTTGTAGGAGAGTATGTAAATCCATATTTTAAGTACTAAATACTGTATTGCCAGCATTTCTCTTTAGACGTAGATTCAGACATTTTGAAATGCAAATTAATTTTTCAACAGATTTTTAGGTATGTTTGAACACTGAATAATTGCTATTTTGATCTATTTTTTGTTGTAATTTACTATTTTTGTATTTGTTTATGACTAACTAGGGTAGATCATTTACAGTCCTTCCAATGACCATCCTTCACATTATTATTGATCCAATTCGAATGAAACAAACTGCTTTCAAAGTAAAATGTCATATAGAAGTCCTGTATCTGATCAACTGTCTAGAAACCAGTAAAGCTGAAAATAATTCTAACTTGTTTTAAAACGTAGGTCCAGAGATCATAGACGGAGATCTAGATCGAGAGACAGAAGACGTTCCAGTTCCAGATCAAGACGCTCCCGCTCCAGAAGCACGAAATCGAGAAGATCACGCTCTAAATCGAGAAAAATAGCTCGTAGAACGCGATCGAGAGAACGTTCTCCTCGTAAGGTAGAACGTGACAGAAAATCAAGGGAGAGATCTAGGGATCGTAAGCGCGGCAGCCGAGACAGAGACAAGGATAAGGACAAAGAAAGAGATAAAAAATCGAAAGAACGCGAGTCCGTCGAGAAGGAGAAGCCCGCTAGGGAGTCCAGAGAAAAGAAGATCGAGAAAGAACCTACCGTGGATGAGAAACGTAAATCGCGGTCTAGAAGTAAAAGCAAGCGTAGGTCAAGATCGAAAGAGCGCAAAACGAGAGAACGTAAAAGGTATCTAGAAAAATTCTTATTTAATACCATTCTTTGGAAGAGTAAGTTCTCAGAAATGTAATAAAAGTATGTTTGTTTTTATTACAATATATAACAAAAAAGTATATAAATACAATAATTTTATTTTGGGACATATTCTACACTTTATTATTGTTTCAGAAATTGTATTTTTTTAACTTGGATTTTAAAAAATCTTTCTGATTATCACGAAAAATACTACCTATCACTTCCACTTTCTGAGCAATTGTCATCCGATTGTAGAGAAATTAAGATAGGATCTATAATGTTATCAATCTCCCACATTTTTCTTTATTCCATTCATCTGTTCATGATAATCTTCAAGAAGGTACTGCCAACATGAGTAACAATAATTAATCTTTTACCTTTACCTGTATGTTCCTTATTACCAGTAAACCAGTAGTGTATCTGATGTAGTCTTTTCTTCAGCATATCATTTCTTCAGAGTCAGCAAGCATTGAATATCTGCCCATTTTTAATAAAATAGCTACAGACCTTGGCTTGGTTTACTACTTCTATCAATTTCTTTCTATCTCTTGATTTCTTTTTTCAGTTTTAGCCTTATTAATTCCTAATTTTATTATATTTCTGAGAACTCACTCCTTGTTCTTCAGATTGACTATAGTATTAAAATTGTTATAATATACAGGGGTTTTCATTGGGAAATACGCATACATTATGAATAGATAGTGACCACCATTATTGTTTATAATTGTTGTTAGGGATTTTCTCGCTGCAGAGAAAATATATTTAAAATTGACATTTCTGGGTGGAACTTTTACTGAGCGCCAAGTTATTTAATATATTTTACTTCAATAATCTTTCGATGCAGCTGCAAAAGTTTGGGGAAAAACAAGAACAAGCCATATTGCTGTACTGCTAGCCTCAAGGCGATGGTTAAACAATATCAGTAGAATTCACAAACAGAAACATACTGGAGTAACATATTTTCAACTATGTTTTCTGGGGACAAGTGTACTCTGACCGCGACCTTCGTCTGTTGTTCCTTGTCGCGAAAATTGTGTGTTTGGGTGAATATTAATACTAGTATACAATGACAATATTTCAGTGGCTACAATCTATTCAATAGCGATTATATTGCATCAAAGTATTCTTAGTAGAGTGCTCTTAAACACTTGAAAAGAGTTATTCAAAACATCCAATATACCCGCTCTATTTAAAAACTCTAGAGATCTGTCCATAAAAGAATGTCTACCATAATTTGTTCTATGAAAATTAATGGAAACTAAATGATTTTGCTGTAGTGTTCTTTGTGGCACTGCAATGTTTATTTTAGACTGCAAAGATGAACACAAGTTGTAACGCTACAACTTCATGTGAATTAACGTTTATTTACTTTTACTAAAAAAAAAAAAAAAAAATGTTTTTTTTTGAGTAAATAAACTATATTATTATTATTATATTATCATACATAATCCTTATATTGTCCAGAGTAAGCAATTTATTAGTTTATGTAGGTTAAGAGAATAGTCATGATCAGCAATAAGATCCATGTTAAACCTATAATTACAATATCTCAAGAATTTTTTTATTCCCTTAAGTAATGACTTATGAATGTTATACTGAGGCGTCCAAATAATTGAACCATATTCAAGTTGTGATCCGACCAACCCAACATACACTGACTTCACAGCTTCCAGAAAGAGTTCACAATCCTAACATCCTTTGGGACTTAACCGCTTAATTGATTGATATGCTCACTCAAACTTAGTTGAGAATCAAAAAGTATTCCCAAATCCTTAGCTAATTCTTTGCCATTCAGCACATGACCATCTACTGAATAAGAAGATGGGATCTTATTTTTCTTTTTACTGAAAGCATTTTTCAAGATTTAGATCCAATAAGTTTAACTTACACCAATCAGACAAATTATCTAGAACCCTTTGAAGTAAACTAATATCAAAATTATTCAACCATTAAAAATTCACAATGCTATATACAATCTTTGAGGTCGTTGACAAACAGGCAAAATAGCAAAGGAGAACGATGCCCACCCTGAGGAACCTTAGACTTTACATCGATATCTTCTGACAAAAAATAGCCAATTTTTACCATCAATCTTTTCTCACTAAGAAAATCATGTACCCATTTTGCTAAACTCAATCAACAACCAGTGATTAACTCTGTCAAATGCCTTGGAGGCATCAATCTGATACCCCCTCTCCAAGGTATCTGACAGTTTATTATTATATATAAACAGATTGGTTACCATAGAATGACCTTCCCTAAAGCCATGCTGCTCATCAATTATAATCTCTCAACACTGCCAATTCAAATAGTTATACATTAAACTATCAACAACTTTTGGGATTGAAGGCTGTATAGATACCCTATGATAGTTTTTAATATCATTTCTATACCCTGATTTAAATATAGGAGGAACAAAGCTTTCTTTCCAAACAGCTGGAATTACACCAGTAGTCAAAGATATGTTAAATAACTTGCACAAAGAATGAGATAATGAATATCTACAGATCTACACTGCTTCAACACCAAATTATGGATACAATTAGGACCAATCATTAATTTATTAGGCAATACCCCAACTTTTCAAATACCTTAGCCACACTTATAACTGGACAGTTAATATTAATTTGTGGTAAAGATTTTTTAGGAGGTATCGCATTTGAATTTGAGAAGACTGTAGCAAAGTGATTAGCAAAGACATGTAGCCATTAGATTATTTAGATTCATATTTTTTTGGAATTTCCAAAAACTTCTTGGGTTCGTGGTCAGATCACTATTTAATGTGTTTAAAAGAGAAATCAACCTCCTTAAATCACTAGAAAAGTAAGAAGGGAAATTGGATGATTTAAATCTTTTCTGTGGAATGAAAAACTGAGAAACATAGTTTAGAATTTCATAAAACTCCGAAACAATATCATTTATATCACTATTATTGAAAATAAGACCCTAATCTATTGAAAATAAATAAGCATTTATAGCCTGATTATTACCATTTTTAAAATCAAAGTACAAACCCTCTACCTTAAGTGGATCTATCCTAGCATTCTTTAAAATGAAGCTACAAGAGTATGAAGTATGATTAATAGTCACTAATAATAGGGTCCAGCGATTTAAAACAATCAGTGGAATGGTTATTCGTAAACAGTAAATCCAAACATATGTTTCGGCTGTTCGGAACATCGCTCATTTGGTACATATAAAAGCCATACATTTGTGCCAGTTGTAAAGCAGATTTATTTGCTGGACATCTCACTTTTACTCCATTATCGCCATTCAACCACTGTGCCTCAGGCAAATTAAAGTCCCCTATTATGTACAGCTTAGAATTAGAATAATCAGCACAGATTTGTTTAACTGTCAGACAGTGATCCCAGAACATATCTTCAGACGATCTAGGAGATATATAAGTACCTCCTACAATAAATTCAGCACCCAGATATTTACATAATACAAACAATTGCTCCAAGTTTGACTCGTAGTTTCTGACAATATGATTTTTTACCAATATCAGAACACCGCCCCCCCCTCCTCTTTGCTGTAATTTGTACATTACGGTCCGCTCTAAATATGTTGTAGTTACTGCAACATAGTTCCTCTGAATAGATATGTTCATACTACCAGCTTTCTGTGAGAATAACAATGTCATAATTTTAAGAATTTGTTACTAAAGTCCGAGATTTTGGTACGCATTCCACTAACATTTTGGTAGTGCATTAGTAATGAGGTATTATCTAGTTTTTTTTCCTGCCGGTCGGCAATTTTTATAACCTTGGGACAACCATTGATAGCAAAGCTCTTATCGTTCCCTTCATTTTCAACTCTAGTTCAGCTAGTGCTTTCTTAAATTGTTCCCTCTGTATTGAAGTCTGATCAGAGTTTAATGAGGATATTTTTAAATTTGATTTGAAATAAGGACCTGTTGCGCCAAAACCGAGAAACTTCAGTTTCCTGTGTCAGACTTGAAAAATTACAGAAAAAAAATGTAATGAATAATATCTATTAACGTTTGCACATCTTCCAGTGAATCACCGTTTATTTATCCCGTTTATTCCAGGTCTCGCTCTAGAGGCAGTAGAAGGAAATCGCCGTCGCCAAGAGCTGTGAGAAGAAGAAGCAGAACCAGAAGCAGAGACCGAGATAGAAAGAGAGACAAAAAACCGACCGATAGACGCGATAAGGACAGAGAGAGAAGAGATCGCGAGAAAAGGTCTAGATCGAGGGACAGAGAAAGAGATAAAAAATCTCGGTCAAGATCGCGATCAAGCCGTTCTACGAGGTCACATTCGAAAGTGCCGAGAAATTATGACGAGGAAGAAAAAGGATTTGACACTGATAAAGATAAAAACAAGGAAAAGGAGGTCGAGTTGCCGGTAGAGAAAGGGTCGCCAGAGAAGTCTGATAATATGGATATTTCTAATTCTCCTTAGATATATTATAGTTTGCGGTGTTTCTATTTGTTTCAATAAACGTGATAATTAGAGCTAATTACTGTTTTTTTTATTCCTATACAATACAATATGCAAAACTATAGAACACAGTAGTGGTTGCTTGTCCTAACGGGCCAAGGGCTGTGGCATTAACGCAAAGTATGTACGTCAATATTTATTTTTTAAGTTCAATGATTATTACAATAATTGTCAGCTAAACGATGCATATATAAATTATTTATCAATATGTAATTTGATACTGACGAAAAAATTCGTGTTGTGTTACTCGAAAATCCAGGGCCGTATTGTGGGGTGAGGCTACCGCTTAGGGCGGCAACAATCTAAGGTCGGCATTTCGGCCAAAGTTTGTGTAATTTTTTTAAAAGTAATAAAAAAAGTCTCGCCAATAATTTTTTTTTAAAATGTTGACCTTAAAAAATTAACGTTATTTTTTACGAAATTTAGTAAAGAAAATAGCGGCTGCTGTATCTGATACCCCTATTCAAATTCATTTGCGTCACCGGTGTCGGCGGGAGATACATAATTTTTAAATCAGTATACTGTACCTGCAGCTTAACTCAAATTGTACACGATGTATAGTTTGCCCTGCTGCAAATTGTACGAGCCGTGTGTTAGAAATGACTGACTTTCTTGGTGATGAATACGAAACATGGTAACGCACTGCACCTTTAAATAGTGTTTTTCATCATGACTAACGATAAACTTGTTTTATTTATATACTTAACTGAGGAAAATAATTCGAAGAAGAAGAAGAGTTAAAAATAGATAATAGGCCTGAAGATGAGGTAGATACTTTGAAATCGGTCTCTACTAAAATTAAGCTTCCTAAGTAATCTCGACAAAGGTCTATTAAGGATAATCTCTCGGGCCAGCAGAGATTAAAGCACAAGTCAAAACTGATTACAGGAAGAACAAAAAATCGAGTAGATAGTAACTGATTAATGTATTGTAACCGGCAACCCCCCGGTCGCCTCTTAATTATTTAAAAGCCCGTATTTTTTTAACTAGATCCTCCCGTCCCCTTTGTGAAATTCAAACTAATTCATACTTACTGTACTTGGCCTTTTTACTCTAGTAGTAGTGATCATCTAGTTAATTAATTGATAATTTATACCCACGTTGTGATAATGAATTAAGATAAACCAGGATTCGATCCAAAGTTTGATACAAATTTGTGAATTAAATAATGCTCAAAAATATATTTATCTTAATTTATTTTTGTTCTCAAATAAACTGAGTATCTACAATTTTTTTTTAATACTGGGTAATGAAAAATTGTAATTCTCACCGAGACCTCACATGATGTGACCCGCCCAAACAAACAGGCCACTGGCCATCAAATATATATTTGAAAAATTCTTGTGGATATACAGCAGACGTCCTCAGAATTGCACTATCTTTAACAATTTTTGATTTCGTCGTTTCTTTGTTATATAGGTGTATTTACTGAGATGCAGTCGTTGCAATAAGACCCCAGACAGCACACCAAATCCTTTGGATATCTACTGGATATCCCAATATCGACTGAATGTCCAGTCCATGGTGGATATCTATTTTATATCCATGAGATGTAATTTATAGACATGGAAATGTCCATAAATAATAGTAATTATATAACAAAATATTAAAAAATTACGCTATTGTGACTAATAGTACCGTTTAGATCAGCCATACTCAACCTGCGGCCCTCCAAGCTTTTCTTTGCGGCCTGCAACACTATTAAGAAGGTGCTTTTTACAACTACTATTGGTTTCAGTTTTTAAAATCTTGAGCGAAACGTGAGAAAACATTCATCGTTCGCTGCGCTAAATAACATGTTTGGATCATGTGGTTACTGCAAAAACAAGATAGTTCCATTGTCGGTATTTTTGAGTTAAGTACGGCATAAACAAGACTAGTTTGAACGAAGTCAATATTGATGATAAACAGGTGGCCAATAAAAACTAACTCCATATTAATACATTTACAATATGTACAAACAAGATGAGTGGCATTTATACCGAAATATAGTCATAACATTGTGTTCAATTGATAAGAGTGTACCAAAGCCCGTTAAGAGACATGTAACTTATTTTTGCTAAATGTATTTAGTCCGAGTCCTAATATTGTTTCTGCCAAAACAAGATAAAGACCAGAACACTTATTTTTGTTTAATGTATTTGTTGAAATACTTTTGCCCAAGCCATTTGTTTTGCCTAGAGCTGTTTCTGGTCTTTCTCGATTGGTCCGAAATTGACAAGGTGATTACGTCGCCCTTTCTTTCTATGATACAGCTAACCTTCAAAAATCAATAGATGATAACACGTGATGTCCGAATCGCTGTGGTGAATGATTGATTGGTCAAGCTGTAACGAGTTATTGGTCAAGCTGCAACTAGTTATTGGCCAAGCTGTAAAGAGCGGGAATGCTGACGCTCATCTCCATATTGTTTGCACGTACTTTTTAAATCACCGAAACAACAGCTTTTCGCAATGCTTGAAAAACCCAAGCCATATCGGCAGAGGGATGCCTGAAAGGGTGAAAAAAAAAGCTCTGAAAATACTTACAAAAAAGTGCAAGATATTAGTAACACCAAAAAGAAAGATGTACTAAAACTTTGCAAATCTGGCGCTACATCTAATGAATTTCACGAGTATTATCACAATCTACCTGTATCCAATAATGTTAAATATACAGTTCCTGAACCTTCCACAGAAGATAGTGACACAGACATCGAATATTTTGACCTGTACAGTGCACATGCACATGGATTATTGTGTGCGAACTCAACACGATATTTATCGAATAGTAAGAATTGTAGTCTGTCGAACGAAGATAGGCGTCTCGATACGTGCCGTATTGAAAGATGAGAATACAACTGCTTTATCAGCTCAAATAAGCCAAGTGACTTTTTCTTTTTGTTACCAATCGATAGATTCTTAATTTATATTTTGTTAAGACTAATAATTATGTTTTAAATACCTTTTTTTATTGGAATTATTGTTTATTAAACAGTTCAAAGCTTTAACTGATTTTTTTATTCAATTTTAAACTTTTGAAAAGCGTTTTCTCGAAACTCTAAAAATGTGAGTTACCTTGTTCTTGCAGTAACCCGACGGGATATATTTATGTTTTATTTACTATAGGTTCCCACTAACTAATTTTAAATGGATGATCTAAATAAAGGGTATATCATGCAAAAATATTGCGGCCCGTGTAACATACCAAACATACGTATGTGAAGGAAAAAAAGGATGAGTATGACTGGTTTAGATATTTAAAATTAAAATTTTAAAGGTGTATTCAATATCCCATGGATATCCACTAAATATATCAAAGTCTAGGCGCGAACGCAAACCATGGTGGATATCCACTAGATGTATTTTTTGGAATATAATATGTACCTAAATATCGGAAAATATGTGAATTGATTTAATAATTATTAAATTACTTAAATATTACGCCATGTGATAACTAAAAAAGCATGTAGGTATGGTTTATAGTGAGTTGTTATCAATATCCCACAGATAAATAATATTGGCAATGAACGCGAGCGCAGGTGCGGATATTTTCTGCCCTCACAGGTGCCATCGGTCATTTTATATTTTGTTTTCGTTTTGTTTGTGTCGTGTGCATGAGTTTCATTTGATAATTTTTGATTAAAAGGAGGTAAGTAAGCTTTAAAACCTTAATTTATTAGTGTAAAAGGTTGATAGACTTTAGTTAAATAAGACTATAGTTACATTCACGTTATTAATATTGTTAAGTTGGTTGTATGCAATGTACGTTAAAATCCGTGTCCTTTTTAGGTATTTCACAACTAGAAATTCATTTCGTTTTTACAATACCCTATTTTATCATAATTAATATGGATGTTATTTTACTTATTTCATGTGATTATTATTGTTTGTGATTCGGTTTGGTTTTTATTGTTTAATGGTTGTTATAATTAATTAGAACGAGGCATTTTTTTCACTGGTTAAGGTAATCTTATTACATCTGCCCTGTATTCAATAGCATGCATGAAGATTTTAACAAGTAAAGTTAGGTTATGTTTAGTTGGACCAACATTTTAGATAAATAAGTATAATATATACACAGATCCAGGCCTTTTAAATTATTAGTTAGTGTTATATATTGTATAAGTGACACTCTGTACAAAAGGCTTTTTCAGACTTCATTTTCGTTTTGGGTATAGCTTGATTTAAAATATAGTTTCACTTTTTGAGGAATTCTACAACAGTCTTTTTTTCAGGAAGAAAATTCCAGTTGAAATTGTGGCGCCAATATAATGTGTATGAGTGATTAGGTTTAGGTTTTCCTTGGCTGCGGGTACTATGTTAATTCGTTAGCTGAAATGTAATATGTTATTTAATATAATAGTATGTTTATACTATAGTTTACTTTTTTTAAATATATTTATATAGCCTGCTTATAATATTTGTCTTTGTTTTATCTAACTATACTTAATATAACAACAATAAAGAATACGATTTATTTGTAAGATGCTTGTATGTTAGATAACTCGTGCGTTGTAATCAGTTTAAAACTTACTTCACATATTCAATGATATTTTGGTCTTTTTTTAGGTATGGTGTATACTATTCAATTGTAAAAATAAAATGTTGATACTCTTTCTCTCTACCTATGCCGTGTAGCATCAAAAATAGTTAACACTAGAATAGTAAACTTTGTATGGGTGTATACCTATACCAAATTAAAAATACAGAGCGTTCCGATGTTAGGCTACTGAAATGCTGATTTTGTTCATATGGAATGTTTTTAGATTATGTAGTAAATTGTTCCACTTATCTTTAAAAAAAAATTAATGAAGTATTAAGTATATCTTAAATATATCAAATAATTAAACATCTTTAGGATCCCAGACAGCACAAAAATATTGCATGAATATTCAATGCATATCTCAACTGCATACTGCTATATTCCATGGATATGCCATATCCGCCATGGCATATAACAGGAATATTGCAGGAATATTCAAGGTCACCATGAAACATATGCCCACGATATGTTTTTATCTGCCAAAATATATGTATG